GAAGAAGATTTTCAAAGAAATAATGCACTTTCAATATATGATCTATATAGTTCCGCCCTAGCGCCAGAACCCCTGACCCTGGGGCCATGAATTTCACAATTTTGGTAGAGTCACCCTTGCTTATCATAACTATGTATTCAATTTGTTTCAATAATACCCAGGAGTAGAGAAGATGATCTATATAGCCCCGCCCTAACACCAGAACGCCGACCCTGGGGCCATGAATTTCACAATTTTGGTAGAGTCTCCCTTGCTTATCATAACTATGTATTCAATTTGTTTCAATAATACCCAGGAGTAGAGAAGAAGATTTTTCAAAGAAATAATGCACTTTCACTATATAATCAATAGAGCCCCGCCCTACCACCAGAACCCCTGACCCAGGGGCCATGAAATTCACAATTTTGAAAAAGGCATCAATGCTTATCATAACCATGCACTTAGTTTGTTTATATAATATCCAGGAGCAGAGAAGAAGATTTTCAAAGAATTAATGCATTTTCACTATATAATCAATAGAGCCCCGCCCTAACACCAGACCCCCTAACCCTGGGGCCATGAATTTCACAATTTAGTTGGAGGGCCCAATGCTTATTACAATCAGGTAAACAGTTTGACTGCTTGATGTCCAGGAGTAAAGATTTTTAAAGATTGCATCAATTTTGGTGGTTTTAGCCCCACCCCTGGGGCCCAAGGGTGGCAGGGACCATGAAATTCACAATTTTTGTTCCCCTTCACCCAAAGACGCTATATGCCAAAATTGGTTGAGCGGTTCTAGAGAAGAAGTTGAAAATGTTCAAAAGTTAACGCACGACGGACGACGACAGACAAAAACGGATAGCAATAGGTCACCTGAGTGACTCAGGTGACCTAAAAATTTGATCACAAATTAATTCTAGCCGTACCCAAAACCCAGGGTCTATAATTTAAAACAAAAAGGTCGATACAGCTTAGGTATGTTTCCAAATCAGTATGATTTAGCGTGATTGTTACTTTTGAAAAGTAACTGAAATGAACAGTTCTTAAATTTCTTGAAAGCAACCATTTTCTACATTGTTAAATTTTAACTTTTTTTCTGACGCATGTGTAAAATGTGTAGCGGTAGTACTTTAAATCTCTGAAGGATAATTCTCATATATTTTCAGGTAAACTTATTTTTTTCTTGTATTTTGTTAAGTGTGACCTATCGACGGATTATTTTAATTATAAAGATCACTATTAATTTTAGACCTCCGTGGATACATATAAATTTCCAAATAAATACTTGTCCGTTTTGATTTTAGGAAAGAAATGCATTTTGTATTACAAGAATTAGTTAGTTAGCAATTATATTAGTAAATGATAGTTAATATATCATATTAGTTAATATATCATATTAGTTAATTCTAAAGATATTATGAAAATAAAAATTGTAAAGTTAATAATTTTAAAGTGAACACGAGTACATTGAGGCATTTCTTAATAGTAGTTCTTTAAGAATCTTTCTATAATTTTTACCCATCTGTCTTCTTTCAAAGTAATTTAGAGATATTGGTTATTTTATCATAAATAGATATCTCTATTTATATACAACCATATATGGTTAAATTATAAGTCATGCAAACAATTTGGCTGCTAGATGACCAGGGGTGAGGAAGGCTTCTAAAGACATTAAAAGAAAAATATTATACGAAAAAAAGGAAAAAAACCCGTAAGCTATGGCTATTAATGGCACGTTTTCTGGGGAGTTGGTTTATGAACTAAGGGAATGCTAAGTTCATTTTAATTAATATGCTTTTAATAAAACTGCACTCTTTCTGTAAATTGCTTGCAGACAAATCATGTATGCTGCTATGAGCAACTCCTCTTCAAAACTTGTGAAATCCATTCCTTGAGCAAATAAATTCAAAATTCTTAAACTGTGTTCTCATACAATTAACAACTACTGTAAACCAACTTTTATTCGCGTGCGAGAAATATTCGCGAGTTTCGCGAACTACTTTAACTCGCGAATATTAATCGCCGCGAACCATTTATTTTACTTTGTATAGAATAATCCCTCAGTCGCGAAAATAAATCGTCGCGGATTGATTTCAAACTGACGAAATGCGAATAAAAGTTGACGCGAATAATAGTTGGTTTACAGTATATACCAATACAATCAGATTATAATTTGGGGTACAAGTCTGCTACAATCATCCAAAAGAAACATTATCTGACATATTTAACCTCATGTGACACCCTTTCAAAATACTATTCACTTTCACGTTATGTAGCTGACCCAAAGAGGACAAAGAATGATTTACAGTTCGAAAAATTGTTTACGTCTGTCTTGTTCACAGCAATATGAACGTGTACATTTAACAAGCAATTGTGAATCATATCTATATAAGATTGATGTCTAGGGCTTTTAAGTCCTAAAAGGCGTGCTGGTTCCATCCTTGACAGACCATGCTGAGGATGTTTCAGGGTTATACTTCAAAATCCAAAGGTCACAATTCACGCATCTGGAATCATTTAGAAGCAGCAATTGGTTACTTCTGGGAAAACAGTAGGAAATAATCATCGCATGTCTGCCTAAATTACAAACTGAATGGTGGTAATATGTCACTCATTTGTCTTTCTCAAAATCCATAATTAGACTATGCTCAATTAATGCAGTGAATGAGCATTCAAATTATTGCACTTTTCAAAAAAATAAAGTGTGATACCTTGAGCGAGCATTTGTACCGAGCATCTTAATCAGGATAACATAAAACCTTCAGTACCGTTCACGGTAGCTGAGTCAGTAGAGCGCTCGCTCCGTGATTGGGAGGTCGTGACTTCGAATCTCGGCCGCAACTGACCTAAGTCGATAAAAATGGGTAGCAAGTGTTCCTTCTCCATGCCCTTGGCACTTTGAAGGGAAGGTTGGGGGTCCTTTGGATGAGACCTTGAAAACCGAGGCCCCGTGTCACGGCAGGCGTTGGCACAATAAAGATCCCTCACTGCTCAATGGCCCTGAGTGCCAAGTAATGGTCAAAATTTGAAGCCCTTCACCGGTGTATGGTGATGTCTCTATATGAGTGAAAAATTCTCGAATGGGATGTAACATACAATCAATCAATCAATAAACCTTCGGTAGCCTGTTCTATTACTGATGATGTCACCAACAAAGAAAACCTGTTCGACTAAGATGGAAGCATGTTTGTACATAAATTTCATGTTTACAAATGGTAATGATCTTTCTTTAAAAACAATTTTGAGAGATATTTTCATGCAAGCAACTTTAAGCATAATAATTTTGCAACATTTTACAATCAGTTAAAGTTTATAGGACCTACTTCATGCTGTTTGTTGATACCATGACCTTATCAGTAATTCAGATTAACACAAAACGCTGGATGAGATGGACACATGTACCACCCATTCATTTACATATCTGGGTAGTTTATCACAAGAACATTTACAATTTTCATATTTGTATTCAGAAAAATCTTCCACAAAAACAAAATAGTTTATTTCTTCAGAATCTAGTACAATGTGACTTTTCGATAAATCTCTTATCATGAACTTCATAAAGAAGAACTTTTACAAAGTTTACAAAACTTAAGAAAAATAAACTCACAATTAACATGAAGATGCATTATTTCCATGATAGGATAAAAATTAACATATTTTGGTGAAGTCTTCAATAGCCTTAATGTATGATCAATGCTAAATTCAACTTAAGGTGACAATGAAAAACTCAATCTACAAGGTACCATGAAAAAGTTCAGATAATTCGTTTGGAAACCTGGTTTCAAAGATTACATACTTTATCAATAATATGCTATATAATTCTATTCAATTGATATTCATGATTCCAAGGAATTCTAAAATCCTTCTTCCTTGAATATCTTTATCATACTTCATTTAAATTAAGGATTCTCTATAAACTACAACTTGTGATGTGTAACAGGGAAAACACAATTAACTTCTAATTTTGTATAGTTTGTGCAAAGATTTGCCTGGGATTGCTTTTGGGCTCTCTATACAGAGTCTTACCAATGTTTTAGAGATGAACGTTTGTCAAAGGAAAATTATGCAGTAAACTGAGACACCGTTAAGAATGGACAAGAGGTGTCAGTATCTTTCAGTTACATGTAAATCACAGCAGACCTTTGAGTTCTGGTAGCATAATATTTCATACACATGTACATAAGAGGTAAATTTATGAGAAAACAATTTTGCTTATTTATTTATCATGCTAATCAATACAATTATTGTCAATAAAATCTGCTATAAACTTAGTCCCCCCCCCCCTTTACTGAATTGTGCATTTCAATTAAGCCAATCTAAAAGTGTGATAAGAAATATTGTTAGCTTTGCTCATTGATTGCTATCCAGTTCAGTTGTCTATAATGTGTAAGATGAGTATAATGACATATGAGGTGTCCTACCAGTGTTTTTGAGTAATTGTTATGTATATATTTAAGAAATAAGGTATTTTTAAACATCTATCGGGATATAAATACGGGTTGGTACCAGATCAAATTTACCATAAAGCCCTTCGGGCTTTATGGAATTTGATCTCGTGACCAACCCGTATTTATAGCTCGATAGATGTTTTAAAATGTTACCTTATTACTTAAATTTACATTTGTGACTTATTCATAGTTTATATTTGCCTGATTATATTCTTTAGCACATGAAACGCTTTATTTTTCAAACCTAACAGCACGTGTTTGATCCACTGATTGCGCGTCGACCCTTTATGACGTCACTGAGAAATTACGTCAAACGTTTATGACGCGAGGAACCCGTGTTTTATACGGATATAGATACGCGTTGCTTTTAATAGTGTTATATTAAAGAAAACATTTGCAAATGTAAATATTATGATATATGATGATAAACTTTGATACCAAGAATTTTGTCATCAATAACTTTGATTTTGATTCAATTTCTTGTTTTGCTTTATTTCATAATTTTTTATTCAAAGATTTTAGAGAAAATTTCATACTTTTTAAAAAATTTCTTAAAGAATATGATGAATGTTTAAAATTAAGTTGATGATAATGTTTTATGAGCTTATTCCGATTAAAAGAACACTTACTGCACTACTTTTCAAAACTGGATGGAAAAAAATTCTTAATATTTATGAATAATTTTTAAACACAACTATTTCAAATGATGCATTATTTAAAGGTTGATATGTTTGTTAAAAGTAATACTCAGTAAGAGTAGAACATGTGTGAAGGACCCTTAATTCAAGTACAGAATAGGATTAAGAAATCAAGAACTTCAAAGACTGAGCTATCAAGAGTCTGTTTATCCAATACATGTATAACATTATCTCACGACATTTTAAATTTGAATTCTTCAACATGTTTAAGCATTTAAATATACATACAAATGTACTCAAGAACACTTGTGATAAGACTGTTATTCATAAATATACTAGTGTTTGACACTCTCCTGATTTGTGAGTTATAACTTATTAATACGTTTTTTAAATGCTTGGTATAAATTAACACAATTTTAAAGTTCAGCCTCACATTTAGTAAAGTAAAATCTCAAAGTACTGCAACTATTTCTCTACACATACATGTACATGTATTTAGATATGCATTTTGGAAAGACATTTTTACATCTTCTGATTTAACAAAACAGACCTTAAGAATTATTCAAGTATACATAATACCATGAACACATTGCAAATATCCATAGATACAAAGATAAACATACGACAAGAAATGTTGTAAATCATTGACAACACACAGTCACTGACATTCATCACTAAAACTCACAAAACAAACAAAATCTTTCACCCCTTACATTTAGTCTTTAGCCACTCAGGCCTGCTGTTACACTTCTATTATGCAAAAAGGTACAAAATTCTCTGTCTCTTTTCCTCACACACACTCCTGAAACATTGACCCTTAATGAAATAATATTTTACAAGCATGAAATCCTGCTCAGTAAAATTTCGATGTCACCAATCACTCATTTATCATTGTAAGCATTTATCATCAAACATTCAAGTTTGGACGTACAAGAAAAAATATTTTGACTTCAGTGATGATGATGGTGATGATGAAGATTTATTAAGAAAACCTAGGAATTTGTTGGGCTACTATTGGAATGGTTATAATGGACTTTGTCTGGAACCAAAGGACGGAGAGACACCAGGAGATCTACTGTAAGGGGACCGCCGGCGGGGACTGCTTCCATCCTGAGGGTGGTACTCTGTGGACCACAAGATCGGGGATTTTGCACTTGTCAGTGGGGAGGCATAGCTTGTGTATGGGGGTGGGGAGTGGCCTGTAAATTAGAATAAAACCTTAAAATGAGAAAACAAGGTCATTTAGGGGAATTTACAAAAGTTTGCATTTACATGTATCATTTTATTCAAAAAGATTTATTTTGATTTTTGTTCAACTTAATTTATCATCAGAGAATAATTTTCCTTATTCTGTTTATCTACTTCCAAAAACTCCCTAATTGATATTCAAAATAGTGATGCACGATAGTAATAACTCTTTTGACAAATTATATAAAATAAATAATCCATTAGTTGCTTGACCTGAAAAGAAGTAAATATAAGACAGATCTTACTGGGTGAGAATTGTGGCGAGGGGTACACCGGTGAGGAGGGTGTGGCCGCTCCAGCGGCCCCGGGTCTGAGGAAGGCTGGGTTACTGCTGGCCGCGGCCTTGTAACGAGGTCCAATCACGTAGTGGTAACCTACAATAAAGATACCTTATAGCAAGATCAATTCATTCAAGGGTACCTTTACAATTTCAGATATCATATGCTATTACTAGATCTGATTTAGCATAGATATATCAGATATCAATTACTCTTACAGTAATGGTAGCTAACAAAATATCAAATGCTGTTGCAAGATCCAATCATACAGTAATAGCTTATAATACAGATATCAGATATCAAATGATGTACATAATTCATGTACAGTACGCAAGGGTAATACACAATAATTCAAGAGACATGACATGTCATTAATCTTTAACCAATAGTCTCATTTTCCAATACATGTAGCATGACTGATCAAACTCAACAGAAGCAGGGCTGTACATCCTGAAGGAAAAATTTGTCGCAATATTATAGAAAAATATCACAATATATCATGATATATCAAGTTTTTACATTTGCTGGTTTCTTGATTTTAAGGAAGGAAAAAGTCTTTGGTACTTTCTGAAACTAAGATTAAAGTAAAATAAAGATTTCACTCTTCCTTTTTTACCAATTGCAAGAAAATAAGGGACTTTTCTATTGGATTTCTCTTCAGTTTTACAATATCGCAATGCAAATACTCAAATTTAAGGACCAAAACATGTCATAACACATTATCTACTTTTGGAAAGTATTGAAAAAAATTATTGATATTTCATCTTATATATCGAAGTATCGTATCCACAACCCTTTGTATCACAATACATTGATTTATTACACCCCTAAACAGAAACTGAAGTGGATATAATTCAACACAGGTCTTACAGAGATATTAATGCCTGCCTAATACATGTACTTACAGATCTCTACATATACAGCTAAAGTGTAGATTTATATCTAACACCTCACATACAATGTATAGCACAGACATTTATGGCCTATCTAACACTGTATGGTGCATTAGCATGGCTTCAAAAATAAATGCAGTCAAAGCTTCATATCAGATATCTCCAATTCTGTTGGATTGGCAAAAATAGAAATGAGCATTTAAGAGGGCAGGGAAAGTCTATACTGACCTACAAAAACCATTTCAGCTGTAGACAGGATACTGACCTACTAGAACTGCTACAGTGGTGGCTAGGATACTGACCTACTAGAACTGCTACAGCTGTGGATAGGATACTGACCTACTAGAACTGCTACATCTGTAGATAGGATACTGAATACTAGAACTGCTACAGCGGTGGCTAGGATACTGACCTATTAGAACTGCTACAGCGGTGGCTAGAATACTGACCTACTAGAACTGCTACAGCTGTGGATAGGATACAGACATACTAAAACTGCTACAGCTGTAGATAGGATACTGACCTACTAGAACTGCTACATCTGTAGATAGGATACTGAATACTAGAACTGCTACAGAGATGGATAGGATACTGACCTACTAGAACTGCTACAGCTGTGGATAGGATACTGACCTACTAGAACTGCTACAGATGTGGATAGGATACAGACCTACAAAAACTGCTACAGCTGTAGATAGGATACTGACCTACTAGAACTGCTACAGCTGTGGATAGGATACTGACCTACTAGAACTGCTACAGCTGTAGATAGGATACTGACCTACTAGAAGTGCTACAACGGTGGCTAGGATACTGACCTACTAGAACTGCTACAGCTGTGGCTAGGATACTGACCTACTAGAACTGCTACAGCGGTGGCTAGGATACTGACCAACTAGAACTGCTACAGCGGTGGCTAGGATACTGACCTACTAGAACTGCTACAGCTGTGGATAGGATACTGACCTACTAGAACTGCTACAACGGTGGCTAGGATACTGACCTACTAGAATTGCTACAGCGGTGGCTAGGATACTGACCTACTAGAACTGCTACAGCGGTGGCTAGGATACTGACCTACTAGAACTGCTACAGCTGTGGATAGGATACTGACCTACTAGAACTGCTACAGCTATGGATAGGATACTGACCTACTAGAACTGCTACAACTGTAGATAGGATACTGACCTACTAGAACTGCTACAGCTGTGGATAGGATACTGACCTACTAGAACTGCTACAGCGGTGGCTAGGATAAGGAACAGGTAGGAGAAGAGAGACTGGTTGTTGTTGATGCTGTTCAGGAAGAAAGCTCCCCAACCAACAGAACGGCCTCTGTAACCTACAAACAGATCAAAGCATCTTGTCAAACATTACACAAGGTGTATATAAAAATCATCAGACAGTAATGCACTGAGAGAAAAAGATAATAGCTTGAAAATAAAAAAAAAAAGAGTATGAAAATTATTTGTTTTACTATAAATTTACTTCTTCCACAGGGACATAATTCCGGGAAATCACAATATCTGATCCATCCACAGGTAGAAAATTATGAGGATTTCTTGGATTGCCATTATTATGTCTTAAATGCACTTTAAGTATGCTGTGATAAATATTTGTGGAATTGGTGTGACACCTACATAGGGTAAATTAATTCTATGTGGAAAGAGTATGTCTACAGTATTCTAAAGATAAAAAGCCATCCAAATGATTGAGTAAAATGCTCACCAAATTGTTCAGGTCGTTGTCCAATCAGCCTGACCGATACTGGGAGTCTGACCTTTTGACCTGTCTTTCTACAGGACAGTTCCACATGACTCTCAGCATTCTCTCTATCCCACAATGCTGCAGACTCTATAAGCCTTATGGGAAATATCAAAATAATTCCCGATTGGCTGTCTTTCTCCGGGGTCATGACCTCTAAAATGCTCTCATCACTTACTGCAGCCTGAAGAAATACCAAGGTTATTAAGAACATTTCATTTACAGGTGTACATATATGTAGCTGTAAGACATTCTTATAAAGCAGTCAACATTATTTCTTCAAAACCATCAGCATATAAATGTAGTATAATGCTAATTTGTTTCTACTTTGAAAAGTTGAATATAAGAAGAAAACATGGTCAATTAAAAATATTAGATACATGTATATGGATGACAATAAGAGGAACATGTTCTGTGAAATCACTCTTTTAATTTTAAGCTTCATTATTTTTTCCCCCATGGTATGAATAGACACAAAGTTCAGGTCCTCCACAAAATATTCAAAGAACTATGCACACTAACTCTCGATTCCCGCCTACATTTTACACCCATTTAATTCTATACTAATGGCAATTTGGCCACAAAATCTTTGTTGAATGCAAAGAACAGTTCAATGGTAATTGACTGATAATTTTAATACCAGTATTAAATAGTTATTTACCCCGAATTCCACCTCTTTAAATAAGGGGGTGAGACAATATTTTTCATTGAAATCGGGCTTTAAAACATCAGTATATTTTAAAATATTTTTGGATATGAATGAATGTTCCTTAAATCTATTCTTATGTTTTACTCATATAAAATTAAACATATGTTATTAATAAAATACAATGTTTTAGTTGTAAACCCCTTTGAAATTGGTGAAAAAATAAGCATTTTTGTGGTTTTTGTCTGTAAACATATGTTTCCTCCCGTGAAACACAAAAACCTTTGGTATTAAATTGTGAAATGACAGTCCATATTACCTGTAAAAAGGATTTTTTGTTTCATGGGGGGGGGGGATATTTTAAAAATATTTTCTGTTTTCCGTTGATTTCTATAGTGAAAAACAAGAGTTTTACCAAAATCATAGATTCATCTCTCTTTGTTTTCCCAAAGAAGTAATGTTTTATGAAAATTCATATAAATATCTATATAGATATGAAAAATCATTCAAATGTGTTAACTTTTGAAAATTGACTTTCAGGTAGGCGGGAGAACAATACTATCGTTCGCAGTTCTTACAATATTATGCTTCTTCAACTACAAAATCGAATCCCAATATTTTTCTTCAAAGCATGAAAGTTTGACCCCTTGAAAATAAGTAATTTTATAGTAGCCCCCCTCTGTCCTGAGTTTATACCTGTATACATGAGGACAGGTCTGGAATATACGTTATGAGTTACCAGTATACATGAGGACAGATCTGGAATATATGTTATGAGTTACCTGTGTACATGAGGACAGATCTGGAATATACGTTATGAGTTACCTGTATACATGACGACAGAACTGGAATATATGTTATAAGTTACCTGCATACATGAGGGCAGATCTAGAATAAACATTTTGAGTTACCTGTATACATGAGGACAGATCTGGAATGGTGGACACTCTGATGGAGGAGAGAGGTGCTGCTGTTGACAAGGACACGTCCGAGTTGTGGACATAAAATGGAGGCAGATACTGGTACTTTTTGACTGGTGCCCTCACTGCAGGCTGGTTCTCCAAACTGGGAACCAGCACAAATAACTGAAGGTCAATAGACATGGTACTAATCTGTTGAACTAATGTCTCGGGGTGTAACTTTTTCAACAGACATCCATACTTTCCTAAAAAAAAAATATTTTTTGGAAAATTAATATATAAAAGCTGATGATTAACTAAAGATAATCTTCTATTGCAATTGCATGTAACTGCATAAGCCTTTGTATAATCCTATTTTTACAATAATCATGGATTCTCTAACCTTTCTTGGAGCTGAATGTAGCCGACACTTGGAAAAGATCGGCAATAGTCAGACCATTGACAGTGGAAGAGAACTCTAGTTCACAGGTGATAGGAACAAAACTAGACTGAAAGTTTCTAGCCTGAATCTCACCAGTGCAATTCTCCCCTAAAAAATTTAATGCAAAACTGACTTAACTCTTTTATTTACATGGTGACAATACTGTCTTCATGAGATATATTTAAAACTTAACTTATATGATGGTTAAGTCAAAACATGTAATAATAACTAGGAAAAAACATCTAAGCAATAGTTAAGGTGATAGTTATTATTACCTATAACCTCTGAGTTGGAGTTCAAGGACACTTGGATAAAGTACTCTGTCAGGCGATTCTTGACATTTGTGAGAAACGACCAGGAGTCATCGACAGTCAGCTGATCAATGGGTGTGACAGTCACCTGATAAAATACAGCAAGTACTTAACTTAAATATAGGGAGGCAGCATGGAATACACTAATTAATTAACACTGAACATTTTATGAAATGTCACACAAGATCCTGTATCTCTGTAATTTTGCTTTTGTTGAGTTTACTGCAGCTAAGAAGATGAACACTATTTCAGTGTACTCTGGCAGGTGGTACTATCTTTGTTGGTGGTGAAATTTACATACCTCAATGTACAATAAAGGTTACTTTCCTACACATTGTGTACTCCATTCAGAGGTGATGTCTTGTGTAGATGATACCTGTAGGTGGTACTTACCTCTGTGTAGGTGGTTAAATTCTGTGCAGGTTGTGACTTCATACCTATGTGTGGGTGGTGAAGTCCTGTGTAGGTGGTGACATCCCTTTTAGGTGGTGACATCCTTTGTAGGTAGTGAAGTCCTGTGTAGGTGGTGAATATAGACTTAACTCTGTGTCGGTAGTCATGTCCTATGTAGGTGGTGACATTACTTACCTCTGTGTTGGTGGTGACGTCCTCTGTAGGTGGTGACATCCTGTGTAGGTAGTGAAGTCCTGTGCAGGTGGTGAGTCCTGTGTAGGTGGTGATATAGACTTACCTCTGTCAGTGGTGATGTCCTGTGTAGGTGGTGACATTACTTACCTCTGTGTAGATGGTGACGTCTTATGTAGGTGGTGACATCCTTTGTAGGTAGTGAAGTCCTGTGTAGGTGGTGAAATATAGACTTAACTCTGTGTCGGTGGTGATGTCCTATGTAGGTAGTGACATTACTTACCTCTGTGTACATGGTGACATCCGAAGTATGTGGTGACATCCGAAGTAGGTGGTGAGTCCTGTGTAGGTGGTATTGTCCTATGTAGGTGGTGACATGACTTACCTCTGTGTAGGTGGTGACGTCCTGTGTCAATGTATACTCCACCAGGTGATGGCCTATCGTATCTGCTGTTCCAATCCCAGAATTCTTGTCTACATCAATCACTTTATTTCTACTCTGCCAGACACCAGAATGACCTAATAAACAAGAGATGTTTGTGAAACACTCATGCTCACCCCCCCCAAAAATTGGAATTTTTCTAAGTCCAAGGGGCTTAACTCTGCCAAAAACTGCTCGATTGCACCCAAAATAGAACTTGACCTAAATATTTTTATGATAAATCTGTATACCAAATTCTATTTCAGAAAATGAACCAAAACTGCAAATAATTAAAATTTTTTGAAGTCCAAGGAGCATAACTCTGTCAAAAATTGCTCATTTGTCCTTAAAACAGAACTTGACCTAGATTTCTTATGATAAATCTGTATACCAAATTTCATTTCAGTATGTGAAACCTCTGCGAAGAAAATGAATGGAAACTGTTGGTAGACCGACAGACAGACAGACCGACCGACAGCAGCAAAGCAATATGCCCTCCCTTCTTCCCAAGGAAGCATAAAAAAGGTCAAATTAGTAAAACTCAAAAAAACCCTCTATCAAATCGTATCTCAGCTATGGATTGTTCACACATACATGTATCATGGATTTACAAGTACATTATCAAAGAAAAATACTACACACTCCTCCTGATAAAAACAAGATAAAAGGTAAAACATGTGACACTGAGACTTACCCGTGGTAGAGACGAGGGGGGCTTTGAAGCAGACGACTGTCCCCAGGGTCATTGTGACCTTGGATGGTGTGATGACATAGTCTACAGGGATGTTGATGTAGTCAGCTAGCCAGGGGTTCCTCTGATCCCAAACCTGACAAACGTTACAGTCTGATATCAAACATTACAGTCTGATATCAAACATTACAGTTCTGATATCAAATGTTAGAGTCTGATATCAAACATTACAGTCTGATATCAAACATTACAGTCTGATATCAAATGTTACAGTCCAATATCAAACATTACAGTCTGATATCAAACATTACAGTCTGATATCAAATGTTAGAGTCTGATATCAAATGTTAGAGTCTGATATCAAACATGTTACATATAACATACTTCACTCCATCTACAGGAATATTCTCTTCAAGGAATGCATACTTTTATCAACACTAAATCATTGTCAAATATCCTCCATGAATATTAGCCAGCATACATGTACATGTAAATAGCTTTGAGAAACTTACAATGAAATATACAAAAATAAGTAAGCCAAATTGTCTTTAAGAGATACATGTAGAAGCTCAGTCTCATGTTTTAATATTCTAACCTTGAGTATGGTCTGTCCGATTTCTGCTGCCTTGACAACCAATGTGTCATTCTCAGATCCATGTTTTATGTGAACAAGGTCATATCTATGGAATACAATAGTGTTAAATGTGAAAAAATAATAAATAACAAACAAAATGTCTCTGATCATAAAAAGTCGAGCACCTGCTACAGCGATATCTCATCTGGACATTGGTGGCATAAAATTGTTCTCCTACGTTGTCATGGTAAGTTATTGTTAAGGTTAAGATTGTCCCCACAGGAATGCTTTTGATGTAACCTTCAGCTGTGCTCAAGGACAGGTCAGAGTTTATCATTAAGTAAGAGACAGGTTTCACCTACAACAAAAACACAAATCAGTTCATCTATAATGGTGTAAATGTTTCATTTTGATTGTTTAAATCATACTTTCCATTAAGAATCCCTTTCTGTATTCTAACTTTTGTTTATCTGATTTTCTCTCTGTTTACCTTGACTAGTAATACCAGGGTCTGATTGGTACCAAACTCCTCCTGAGATGTGACGTGTAGCGCCACCTGTCCGGTGAGTGGACCACTGGACAGTAATCCTCCCTCCCCCACTGTCACAGGGCTTGGATCCTCCAGGGATATCACTTGATAACTCATCTTAGCAGAGCCATCCCTAGTGAGAGCATATCATAAAACTCTGTATATATATGCACATGTAATGAGGGTTCATTATGGTCACACATACAGCTATAAGTACATGTACATGTAATGCACATCTATTATGGTCAAACATACAGCTGTATGTACATGTACATGTAATGCACCTTCATTATGGTCACACATACAGCTGTATTTACATGTAAAACAGGTACATGCATTTCTTAATGAAAAAGCAATAAAATTATTAACCTGTTACAATATAATAATTAATCTCTGATCAATTGATCAGTGAACTCATTTGAACATCTTCAATACCTTTTACTAATGCAGGGCATCTATTCTAATTTGTATGAATATTAACTGGTTATTCAAAATTTTGTCAAAAATCCTATTTTAAAATAATTGTTCAATCAATAATTGATGGGAACAAGGATTAATCAACTATTGACTGACATCCCTATTTTTTACCCATTTGATTGAATAACTATGAGACAGAGACTAGTAACCTGTTAGTTTTGATGACAGCTTCTGTGTTTGGAGTCAACAGAATTCTCCCATCACAGACCTTTGGGCTTATGACTGCTAACTTTTCAAAAACCTATAAAGCAGAAGGATGAAAAGTTACAAAAGTCCTTCTTTATCAATTTCACTTTTTTAAAAAAAGACTTTCATATTTCCATGTATATCTTGCATTTTATGCACCCTTTGATTATAAACAGTATAAAATCTACACTGCATACCTCCACCTGCAGCTCATCTGTCAGTGTTCTGTGACCTTTGATCTGTGACCTAGAGGTTAAATGGGGTCTAACTGTCAGTTTGACGGTAACTTGTCCAGCTGAAATGGCCACCAGTTGACGAGCAAAGTCACTCTCTGCTGGGGACTTCAGACCAGTCTATAAATGCAAGAACAACTTATAAATAAATTCAATAAATTTGAATATTGATCCCACTGCTTTCTTTAATTTTATGTTCTCATCCTCATTTAGAGATGAATGTAAGAGAAATGACTATTGAGATCTTGTATTATATATATACATGTAAAACTGTTTGACTTGTTTAAACTGAGATCAGACCTTATGGAAGACATTCTGTAGCTGTATAACATCCTTATTGTTAATGAACCATGTGAAAACCAGAGGGGGCATGGCACTGCCAAAAGTGAACGGGGTCTCATGTTCTGACAGACCAATTGCATACAGGGGCATCTAAAAAATAAAATTAGTCAGAGCATACAAGTATTTAAGTATTTATACACCACTGCTCGTCTTCATACATGTATCAACTAAGTATAAAAACAAAACTTTAATATCAAAACAAAAAAATATGTACATGTAAACAAGGAACTTCAAATCATAAAACACACTATGTATAAACAAATGTGTAGACAAATTTTCATAATATACTAACTCAGTATGTTTTTATAGTAGAATAAACTGCAAAATTGAATCCTTCAATTCTTCATTGAACCAGCTTGATATGTATAACTGTACTTTACAGTGTAAATAGTGTGGCCGTGATGAGGTACTTACCTTGGTCCCTGTTTGCATCCTGGACAAAGCTGAGTGAATTCTGATCCCAGACAGCTCTACTACATTCACTGTTACTTCATCCTGATAATGAACACACAAAAACTTATACATATACTTAAATTATATATTACCTGTCTGTATATAATTCACCTGAGAGTATACAATGGTTTCTCCTGTGTGTATATATAATTTACTTGAGAGTATATAATGGTTTCTCCTCCGTGTATATATAATTTACCTGAGAGTATATAATGTTTTCTCCTGTGTGTATATAATTTACCTGAGAGTATATAATAGTTTCTCCTGTCTCTGGGTCCTGACCCACAGCCTGACCTAACACCCTCGTCGTCCCGAGGTTCTGGGCATCCAGCAGACCACTGCTTGACACGTCTGCAATACGACTGTCCTTGATGGAGAACAGTACTGTACATTGGGGGGTGGGGCCTCCTTTACTGAGTACCTTCAAAAATACAAAGGTTAAAGGTCATCAAAGTGTTATAGAAAAGATACAAAGGATAAAGGTCATCAATTAAAGTACTACAGAAAAATTTACAAAATGAATACAGTGCCATAATGTAAAAATTATAACAAATCAGTTAAAACCAGATCATTATACAAGTTATTCATTGTGTTCAGCTGATAACCAGATACTGTAGATTCCTAAATATACGCGAGGAATAAATTATCGCGTAATTACACGAGAAGCACCAATCGCGAAATAAAATTACTCACTTTTATTTTTATGGTGCTTTTATGTATGTAAAATCTCTAGATAAATCACCGATTCGCGAATTATTGTTCTCGCGATTTGACGCCCTTGGGTCATTTCGCGATATTAAGTACTCGCGTAAAATAAGGAATTTACAGTATTTTGTACTTCTTAGTGATTATATGTGACACAGAGGAACTTATTGTAAGAGGCTTCTCTATATAATTAATATGTTATTTATGGGGTCAATTTCAAAATACTTTAAATTACACAATTTATGTGAACATATATATACACAAAACATTCCTGAAAATCTTATTAAAACACACACACACTCAAAAAAAAAAACAAAACAAAACAAAAAACAACACATTTCAAAAAATTCTCTGAAGCATGGCTCTTAAAATTTGTCTGCAATGACCCAAACTCACCTGAAACTTGGCCCCAATTATCATTGTAATATTCCTAGGAATTAACTGGAGTGGTGGGAAAACCTGTGCGTAGACAAAAGACCGAGTACTTCAGTATAAATCCATTACTCTAATATCGGGTGTGTAAACTGAAAACTCATATTAAAATAAATCTGACTGTAGCAGAATTATACCGACTTCTACTGGTCTTGATAGACTCTTGATCACTACAGCATGACTGGGATGAGCCTCAGCAACCAGTGAAGTGTGACCAACTTGTGCTCCATGCATGATGTAGTACTCAGTGAAGAGTTCATCTCTCTGATCTTTGTCTTTTCTGAGGAAAAGACAGTCTTATTAAAATTCCAATTACATACCTTAATGTACGTACAAAAAATTAACAACAGAACTGCAATTTATTTTCACATGGTCCAATTCACAGTTCTGATAACATTTCTAATCAACACTTAATGCAATCTAAAAGCTTGTATTAAAATGCTACATTTACATATATGTGTGCGTTTTAAAAATGTAAATATTATTAATCACTCAAAAATTTTAATCCACATGTAATTCAAGTTTCAAATCATTCAGTAAGATGTAAAATCTGATTTTATCATTACAGCATTTGAGTTACATATGTGGAAAAAATATAATATCTGAAGCAAGACTGCTGTATACATCCTAGAGGCATCATCACTGCAAGTTTGGTTGCAAATGCTTATCTAAATTTCACTCGAAATGAGCTACAAAGGACCAATACATTCAGAAAAGATGTAACTACTGAGACAGCAAAATTCCATGAAAACAGACATAACATTTACATGATTGAAATAGATTTTCTATGTTTACATCTTCTTATGATTACAGATTACATGTTAATAAATACCTGATGGTGATAATATTAGAGGTGGGAATCAATTTTAACCCCATTAATCTAAAGAAGCTGGCCTGCAGGGGTTTTCCGTGGGCATCCATAACTCTAACCTTGACCTTGGCTTCTTTATTGACTTCAACCTACAAAAAGTAGTCAAGGATAAGTAGATGAAATGCTCATTGATAAATTAATACAACCATGTTAAATTTTTATACCAGAAAAAAGTTCCTGTACACCAGCAGATTACATACTGTATAAGTAGAATTTTTAGGGAGAACTCAATTTTGGAATTATTAGTGACAATGTTGATTTTGCTAAAATTTTACATACAATTCATTCTGCATCAGCTTAAGAGATATTTTTCTTGGCAATAAAAAAATCGCTATAATTATTTTTACATACATTATATACTAATTTTTAAGGATAAATTGCTAACATGATACAATAAACATTACACTTATATTGATAGTGTTCAGCTCATCCATTACTTATACCTTTTCTGTCACGGAAAGTTCCACACTACCTACACCTGACACGAATATGGTGGCCGTGGGAGGGTGTCGAACGTAAACACAAAGGTCATACACCGTGACCTTCATAGAACCATCAGCCACAGGAACTACCTGAATAAAAGACAGCCTCAATCACATACACTGAAATCTACACAATATGTGGAGAGCCGCAATAACAAAATTATACTGAAATCTATACAGTATGTGGAGAGCTGCAATAACAAGATTATACTAAAATCTATACAATATGTGGAGAGCCGCAATAACAAAATTATACTGAAATCTACACAATATGTGGAGAGCCGCAATAACAAAATTATACAGAAATAAATACAATATGTGGAGAGCTGCAATAACAAATTTCTACACATCATGAGAATGGTTGAATTCATTCAAATGCAAATTTTCAGCTTTGTATATTTTTCTTACATGTAATATAACATTCACAATTCTCATTTCTGGTCCATCTTAATTTCACTATTTCTTAATCATCAATTGACCTACTCTCAGGCAAGCCAAAATCCATACAATTACTCCTAACACAATTCTTTTTTTAATCCATATGCATACATGTATGTATTACAGTTACCTGCATTTGTTTAGTTTTATCAGTATAGTCTAGATTCACAACCCCTGCTTGATCAGGGATTACATGGAAAAATCCGGAACCTTTCTGTATGTCCACAGTGTACTGAAAGAATAAAGATAGGAAAATGTGATTCCTACAATATAACTACATATAGTCACATTGAAATGATAATGACCACTTCATGAAAATGAACAGATTGATCTATTTATTGTAAACCAACATTAAACACCAAACCTACCGTGTTAGATGGGTGATTAAACAGCGAGATGATGTCTGGTTTTACAATGACTTCCTCTACGAGCTTCAGCTCCAGGGATCGGCTTATCTTAGGATGGATTCTGGTCTGAAATATCAAACATAATGTGTACTAAATACTCCCAGATCAAACATCTGATGAGGATCAGTTATAGCGATGTAATTAAGAACTGACAAATACTGAGATAAGAGTGTGATTACTGATATTGGAGATCCCGCCATTCTGAGGTGTCTCTCCAGGTAAGAGTTGATGGAGGCCGTGATAACAACAAATCCAGGTCGACCTTGAGGTACAAGGCCTCGGTAATCTGAAAATAGAACTTCTGTTATTGTGAGGGTAAAAAAGGACACTTCTCAAACAAACTTCCAACAATAATTACATGTACCTACATAGCTGTATTATAAAAGTTACATTAAGTTTACAAATATTTTGTTTGTTTAACAATCTCTGCTAATTTTTCTGTGTTGATATAAATCTAATGTGTATGATCAACTAGTATATTCAATTATTGTAGAGAAAACATGCACAACTTACATTTGACATAATTAAAGCCTTCCTTGCTGGATATGGTAGAGATCTGTATGGAGCTGTCCACAGAATTGTCCAGAGTGGCCAGAGACTGGTCAGACACTGACCACTGAAAGTCCAGGGAGGAGAAATTGTCAAACTTCCTCCCGAAGGAGTCGGTGACCGTGACGAGGATGTCTAAATTCCGCTGACAGTGGACTGGGATCTGTAAGTATGCATGTACTCAGTAAAACCACAATTTTAATGATATTCAGAGTATGACTATTTAATAATAAGCAAGTTCCAAATGTTAAGCATCATTCATGTACCAGGGATATAACTGCTATGTTTTGCTCCATTGTAATAGAATAGGAGGAGGGGGATTTTCTGGGTACTTACTGCTATGCCTTGCTCCCTTGTTACAGGGCAGGGAGGGGGATTTTCTGGGTACTTACTGCGATGCCTTGCTCCCTTGTTACAGGACAGGGAGGGAGATTCTCAGGGTACTTCAGATCTGGGTGGAGCTGTAAACCCACTGGTTCAGAACAACTCAACCTGCACATAATTAGTTGAAACTTGATGATTATATCAAAACATAAAAGATGTTAACAAATTATTAACCATGTTGTTTAGTACTCATAATATAAAAATCATTTTAGAATCGTAAGTCAGTTAAATAAAAGAGACAAGAGTACATAGTCTTACAACTACTTTTTTTTCTATCACACACACACACACTGACCTTATTGAGGCCTCAGCGACTGCCGGATATTGATTGGTCGTTGTCTTATTGTTACCTACTCTCAGGGTCATGACCTGCTCCCCAAAGTCAACACACGTCGCATAAAAATGATGGAAACCACCTAAAATTAACAAATCTCTAAAAATCAGAACATTATTGTCTTTAACTAAATAAAGAAGTGACCAACAATTTGAGTAGGTCAAGTGACTGTCTTTTAAGCCCTATCAGAAGCTTCTTTTTATATATCTATGTTCTGTCTTACGTGTTTTTGTATGTGTCATGTTTCTGGTGGGTCTTTGTTTTATATATACGTTTGTCTTAATTGTGTTTATACATGTATATGTCTTATATGTTTCTAGAGTGTTTTATATGTACATGTACATTTTATGCATTTGCTTATATGTAAGTGTGTTCATATGTTCATGTACATTTTATGCATGTTTGTTTATGTATGTTTTACGTGACTAACTAGTCGATTAAAGAGCTTCATAGCATATGTTTCTTCTTATCTGTAATAGTCCGACTATAAATAAATTTGACTTACTTACTTAAACCAACATGTTATCATTTTTAACACATAGTCAGGCATGCCTGGCAGACACAGACACATTAATAAGGTGTTATGAGAACCAAAAATAAATTATGCTTATGCAGATCCAGACCATACTGCATGTGTTTTTTTCATAAAAAGCAAATTCTTTTGCCAAAAAAAAAGCAACCAACCAACCAACCAAACAAAAAAAAACATTCCTTCTTAGCACTTAATCACTAAGACAGCAGTGAAGAGTTGGTGAGAAAACGGTCTTTAAAAGACACCTGGTTTTACAGCATGTTTAATTCATTTCAGAATTACAAGCCTCTCTTGTTAAATTCTGAAATATACACATGATACAATGTTTACTTACGATTGTTTCCAAGAATTTTCACTTTTTGGACCTTTGTAACAGCTGAGTTGGTACTGGTCACTAAATGAAGAGAATTACATAAAGAATGAAGGCTTCATTACTGGTAGTATAAATTTACAGCTTACGGGGAGGAGATGCAAAAATTAGTACATGTACAATGTATATGGGTGAAATAGATTTACATGTATACACCTTATGCCCCATTCACACAGACAATTTAATTAGAATTAAACATAAGTAGCTGTGAATTTAAATCTGAACCATGTTCACACAGAGAATTTAAAGCAAATTAGTTTAATTCTTATTAATTTACTGCACATCAAATTGCAATGCATTACTTAAGTGTGAACACTAAGTGTACCTAATTCAAACTAAATGCTGCATGCAAAATAGCAAAATTAAGTCATAAGCCATATGCTGGTGGCCAGATATGGGTACTTTGCTAGATTTGAGTAAAAACAAAGAAAAATAATGTTAATCACTTTAAATGTTTACAAAGACTATGATATATTAGATGTATAGCTGCTCTGTAGAAGGTGACTTAATCTGCATGTGACCTCATAATAGTCTTAATTTGTATTATAAAATATTAATGCCAATAGTTAACTTCCTATTCACAGTCATTTCAATGCTATCTAATTCAAAACAAATTAATTTGCATTATTTTACTTTGCATAAATTTACTGCAAATTAAAAATTTAATGAGCATTTGTGTGAACAGGGTATTAAATATCGATCCTGTGTTTGAGGAAAAGAGCAACACTAACTTAAGCTATTCTTTGAACCAGGGCCAAGAACAACTTACAGTGTTGGACTGAGAACCAGGGCCAAGAACAACTTACAGTGTTGGACTGAGAGTTGCTTACAGTCTTGGAAGTAATTAAGCGAGTCTATAATCCAAAATAAAATGACTTACATCTTCATACTTGAGTGATTTTCAGGGCTGTGAGTTAGTTACAATATTGGAAGTACATATAGTTGAGAAGTCCTTGAGTGAGTATATGACCCATGATTTTCAGGGCTGTAAGTTAATTACAATCTTGGAAGTCCTTGAGTGAGTATATGACCCAGGGTAAAATGACTTACATGTACAATCTTCATACTTCAGTGATTTTCAGGGCTGTGAGTTACTTACAATCTTGGAAGTACTTGAGTGAGTCTATGACCCAGGGCTGAGGTCCCCCTTTAAAGATCAGTTCCTTCCTAGATCCTACAGCTATCACTGCAACCTTCTCTGGATCAACAGGCTGAAGTAAAGAATAAAGAATACGTCTAAGACAATTAATTTACTTCTATCTAAATTTGTAATTCATATCATCACTTTCAATAAACAATTGTTCATATCATCTCTTTCCATATACAATTTGTATTTATTTTTCATATTGAAGACAAAGAGGTTTAAGATGTTCTCAGTATTTATGCTCGACAGACTGTGAATTACACCTAAATATAAAAATGCTGCTGAGAATCCAAACATATCTACCATGAGTGGATCATAAGCTGCTATGGTGACAGAGGCAGACAGATCTATCCCCCGGGATGTGTAACTGGCGAGGACGACCGTGTGACCTCGCTGTACTGCCTTCAGTCTTAATGAACAGCACCCCTCCTCAGGAAGTGACAAAGAAACTGCAATAAAAAAAAGCACACTACACATGGTTTTTAAAATTATTTTATAATGGAAAATTCCAGCAAGTTCATGTGCATACCTATTTTGTAAGAAAAGTTTAAACTGGTAAAACATTAATTACATGTCCATGTACTGTGAGTGAATTCTCATTCATGGGTTAGAACTATCTACCTCTGTTCAGTTGTGAGTGAATTCTCATTCACGTGTTAGAAGTATCTACCTCTGTTCAGTTGGAAGGCTGTTGGATCAGAGAAAGAAATGTTGACCTTCATTCTGCGACAATCATTGAAAGGGAATAGTTTTCCTGAAATGAAGAAAATTGTTTAAATATTGATATACAAGTACATGCTTTCCACAACTCCATACAAGAAACATTACTTTCCAAACAGAAACACATTAAAGTTATGAACTGGTATGAAGAATTTACTGGCATAGCATTCTAATTCTGGCTTAATATTTATACGGTTCCTTCTCAGTTACAGAATCTTGGTTCAGATGTACTAAATACAGTGAAATGTAATAAATGTAACCTTGGTGCCGTCCAAACACAGAGAGTGGCATATCTAACTCGGATCCCACCTCTGCCTCCACATGCTTTGGGACAAATTTCATGTCTTCTGGTGGCAAAACAAACACCTAAAATACATAAATTATTGAAGATTTTGTTAATACATGTATATGTACTGTTAATACATGTACATGTATGTACAAGATATTTAAGAAATAAACAACAATGTTAAAAAGTTCTCTGGGATATGAACTTGGTTGGTCACGTGATCAAATCCTGTGAAGCCCGAAGGACTTCTTAGAAGATTTGATCACGTACCAACCAAGTTCATTTCCCAGTGAACTTTTTAACATTGTTGTTTATTACTTTTATTTACATTTGAGACGAATATTTTGAAAAGAACTGTATTTATTACACGAATGGCCTGCCGTATTGTTATGTTGTGATGCGCAATGACCTAGAAGCTGTTTGGTCTTGAGAGTTTGCCTCGCTCCAACATTTGAATACTTACATTGATGTTCAGCGGTCCAGATCAGGAAATATCTATTCATAATGAAAAAACTGTGATCGCTATTGAGAATAAACTTATTATTATTGTATGAGTTCTTTATATATGAAGTTAAAAGCGGTGATATTGTCTTAAGTTTACAAACCTTCAAAGGAATTTCGGGGTAAAAAGGTGAGCATGATTTTAGGCTAATTATAAACATTTTTCACACCAAAGACAGAAATAATGATCATTTGTTGAACAAAAAAAAAACATATTTTATCTTTTTCATCGCTTTGACGGCTTAGAAGTTCCGAAACCAGTGTCAACGTGACAGAAATATGTAGACAAGATATGATCTCGCTGTGTGATTCGGTCAAGCCTTGACCTCTGACCCCCTAATAAGTTCATACAGAATTGAACATATTTTCTTTTCAATAGGTTCATCTAAGAAAAATATTTGCAAATGTAAATAATCAGAAATAAATTAGGCTTTCCCACTCTGACAATGTACAGTAAAAAAACATATTAAATAAATTCTTCTCATTACATTATCTTAAGTTCTCTGTTAGACTCTAGTATTATCTCCCTTGTATACCTTGGCTGACCCGGTGTGAATCCTGTTCTTGGCATCAGCAGCTGTGATGGTGGCCTCTCCCCTCTTTCCTGTCGTTATCTCCCCCCTGACGCTGACCGTGGTTGTCTCCACATTAGACGAGCTCCAGACATACTCCCCGCTTCCTCCCTTTACCTGTCACATGACAAACATAATATTCTGACAGGCCCCAAAATAACATGTCACAATTAATCACGTCATTTAACTTGCATTAAAATGAATCTCTGTATAGAAAATGTTTGTTACCTGTAATCTATACTGGTGACTTGTGGGTGAGTGGGGGTCCCAGGGAAAATAAAGGGTCTCAGGTCTAACTCTGATTGGATCAAAAATCTCCACAGAACGCGAGCTTTTTACAGCAGGGTTAACTTCTATCTTTGTATCGTCCTAAAGTCAAATTAATGACATACACATTATAATCTCTACAGAACGCGAGCCTTTTACAGCAGGGTTAACTTCTATCTCAGAGTCTGTATCATCCTAAAGTCTAAACAGTACAGTGAAATACAATATTATCTCTATAATTATCCATCCTGATCATGTCAACACAGTGAAATATTTTATAAAGTGATTTATGGTTAGATTAACGACTTAATCTTTCTATCAATAAACATACATATCCTGCAACTTAGAATCACTCTTAAACTAAAAGTATGTTGTCCTACACGTACATGCAACCAAAACCTGCCTTAACACAGCTCTATACAAAGCAACTTCTTAGAATTATCTTAGCTTATGTTAACTTTTAAGAGCCCACAGTGTCCTGTGCAACTTTATAAAACTTCCATTGAAAGGTTGCTTAATAAAGGCTTGATTGTATGTGATCTGTTTATTTTCATATTCCTTTAATTTATCTGGAGACAATGATGATTCATTATTAATGTCCAACAAACACAAACTTGCTGTTAAATGTGAGTATAATTAACCACCTCTTGTACAATGGCTTTCAGGACGCCTTCAATGCTAGTTTTCCCCGGCTTCAGAGTGTATACATGGTGATAAGTTCCATTCTTGGTGGAGAATCTCACATCAAAATATTCTTTAGGAAACAATGCCCTCAGTATAACATTCTGCAATCAAATAGTATTGTATATTACATTGAATAAAACATTTTTCCCATCATATATGCCAATAAATAAATGTACATATGCTATTCTTGGCACATTATGGTTGATTAATACAACCCCCCTTCAATTTATACCAACAAACAAAAGAAACACATTCTATATTAAAGGAAAAAATTCAGAAATTTAGTATAATTTTGTACTTAAAAAGTAAGAACTATTTTGTGTAGTTGGTTTTTTAACAGTTGATTGATTTTCATCTTGTTACCGGACCAAATCTGAGCCCGACTTAATGCAAATCATGAACTGCATGTTTACTCAAAAATTTGTCTATAATTGAGTTTACAAGAGTTTGTTTCTTTATCATAAGTATTGCAGCAATATTCTAAAACTAGATGTGTCGTAAGGCCATGAATGAGCCCGCAGGACGCCAACATTTCAAATTGTAGATTGCACATTTGTAACCGATATAATGATTAGAAATTGTGAATTTTTAAATCTTTTCCAAGTTCAAGGGGGACAACTGTCAAAAATCATCGAACCATGACCAAATTCAAACTTGACCTGTATTTTCTGGTAAAATACCTGCGTGTACAATTTCAACCTTACACATACATCCCTACAAAAGGAAGAGAGCGGAAACTGAAAATTTCTTATTTTTCTAATTTCAAGAGGGATAACTCAGTCAAAAATCATCAAACCACAACCAAATTCAAACTTGACCTGCGTATTTCTATGACGTATTCATATCTTGAATTTGAGTTGAATGTGTGCAACTGTTGCCAAGATAATGAACAGAAAGTGAATGATAACGGAATAACAGAATAACGGAACAGGGTAACATTTATGCCCCTGGCCATTTTATGGCGGGGGCATAAAAAAGGTTTTGTTTCTTTTATCTGTAAGTGATGCCAAGGCTTCCTGAAAATGACTATTAGCATGCATTTTGATTGCTCTAGCTGGAAATTCTCAAAAAGACAATGAAAAGTATTGCAGATGCAAAATTGAACTATTTCATCCTTCATCATGCTCATACATCTCATAAGCTTGAATGAGGTCTGTGGACCAGAAATCCAACGGATACTATGCTGCACCAGGTTCGCGGAAATGTGACTTCAGTACCTGAAAAACAGGCACTTCAAAAGGCTGAAGAAATATTTCTTTTGCTCAAATCAAGAGACTGCTTATCTTACTGCATCGTAGAATCTGAACTGTAATTGTTGTACATGGCGGACTTACATGCTACAATTGAATGGCTGAGGGTGGGATAAGGGTGTTTTAACGGTTGTCTGTTACTTTCTAAAGTTAAAGGATGACATTCAACATTTACTGTTGAAATCTGTCCAAAATTGAGAATATCATTAGAGTAAAAACCGAGATACACTATTTGTAGTTAACTGCTTTTTGAGTTTGTTTTGTGTGTCAGTATACATACACAAGATTATATTCCCTACTTACCGGTACATCTTTATGTATCATTATTATTTAAAAAATTATAAAAAGTACTGAAAAAATCCATTTGCTTTTCCTTTTTGGAATTTTTATCTAAATTTGGAGGGAAGAAAATAGTCAATTTTAAAATGGGCTAAAGTCCTTTTACCAGAACCTGGATGCAATGGATATTAAGCCCTGGAATTTCTCAGTAGATAAAGAATTCACTTTGAACCTGTCTTTTACATCATCAGATAGACTGAGCTTGTAACTTTAACCCTTTCTGTCAATTGTACCTTTACAAGTTGTGACTATTCCTATGATAAACTTTATAACAATAGTATATATACATACTCTGGCTATTTTTAACATACTTAATGAGAGTGGTACATCAGACAGGTAGATTTTGTGGCTATTTTTATCGTACAGCTCTATGACAATGTAACACTTACATCAGATGGGTAGATTTTGTGGCTATTTTTATCATACAGCTCTATAACAATGTAACACTTACATCAGAAGGGTAGATTTTGTGGCTATTTTTATCATACAGCTCTATGACAATGTAACACTTACATCAGATGGGTAGATTTTGTGCCTTTTTTTATTGTACAGCTCTATGACAATGTAACACTTACATCAGACGGGTAGATTTTGTGGCTATTTTTATCGTACAGCTCTATGACAGTGGTTTACTTACATCAGACGGGTAGATTTTGTGGCTATTTTTATCATACAGCTCTATGACAATGTTGTATTCTTTCTCAGTCTCCAGGACCCACTTCCTGTCCGGCAGGACCACAAACCCCAGGTAACTGGGGGCCACAACATACAGCATGGCACTGGGTTTGACAAGGGCATCCTGCTTCAGATCTCAGAACTGTTAGGGAATCATACTGTCTGTAGTTCACATCCATTGATTTCAACTTTATTAAATCTGACAAGGCATTACTTGAAAAGAATTGAAATCAAGAATGTGTCATTAAAATGACTTTTTATCAAAACAATCTTGAAAAGTGCAAATACCATATTCTCCCTACTAAGCACCCCAGGTGCTTAGAAAATTGCAGAAAGGGGGCAGTTATGCGGTATTTCACATTAAAATCTTCAATGCTTTTCTGTGAAATTTTGACTTTAAGGAATATTTAAAATAAATATCAATGTCAAACTTAGAGTTTGTTATGTTTTCCTTCATGATAATTTAATCCACTCACGTCATATGACTGATTTATTATTCCAAAGGAAAGAGTAGTAATATAATACTACTTGATCCCTATACAAAAGGAACATGTATGTAACTTTCATTTTCAGACAATACTCATGTTAAGTTGTTGATGATATATTTTGTCTATTCCTGATGAAGTGGGGTCACTCTCAGTTTTATTTCCTGATATACACTGTAATTCTGCTTTTTTCTTACTCAGTATTTTGAGTCTAGTCAACCACCTGTAGGCTTTCAATTCTTGGTATTGGAGGTTTTCATGTGTACACAAGATATTTGGAATCCAATTATCAGAGACAGGTTAAACACGGAGAAAAGGTCATAATTCTATTAAATAATATACAGTTACCATGGTTACTGTAATGAAGGTATCATTGTTGGACATACAATATATGTTGAGAAAAAAAGCAAGATAGTTGGTTCTTTCCTTAGCAAAGAGGGACATTAAGGTGTACTGCAGGGTTGTCCCTAAGACCTGGGGGCCAGCAACACTCACTGAAAGGCTTCAGGGTGAATACATTTTTTATTATAAGGTAATAAAAGCAGATCCTTATTCTCAGACAATTAAAAAATACTTTGGGGGGGGGGGGGGGGGCACTTGATAAGGAGAATACGGTAAATAAATTTTTTTTAAAAACATTGTGTTTGTATAAACTGGTATACATGCATTGTTGAATTAGACATTTACAGAACAAGGATACTTCTGTCTGTCAACACAATTTCAGTGGAGCCGATTTCCTGTCCTGTTGCAATGGAGGTTTTGGCGTCTAAATTACAAACGCCATCATCCTGTACCTCCAGGAAAAATTGGGAGGAAGGCAGGGAAATCTCTGTCCAAAACAAAACAAATATATCTAATAATAATGTCCACTCTGGAAGGAAATCTCTGTCCAAAACAAAACAAATATATCTAATAACAATGTCCACTCTGGAAGGAAATCTCTGTGAAATATTAAACATTGATACTGAGGACAAATCTCTAAACCCATAAATACAGAAATTCACTGGAAAGCCAACTTAAAACACAGTATACGAAACAAAATTATACCTAACTCACTAAAAATTAAATTGTTTATGAAATAACAAAGCTCATTATTATATTAACTATCTGGTGATAAGAAAATCCACAAAATAAAGTACATGTATCTCATATTTTACTACGGTTATTGCAAAGATCAAAGAAATGCTGTGGCCATTATTCTCCAGTAAATCACAAACGTCATCTACAAATTATCAAAAATTTTAAATCGGTTTCCTCTAATTTTGACTGCTCTTCCTAGGAAAAGGACTGAGGCCTCTTTTAATTGTGACACAAATTAGTGGGGGAAAAGTTTACTAATTTACGGATTACCTCGTACGTTTTCTAATGCCTTAAGTGCAAATAAACGAGAAGTAGCATTCAATTGTGACGTAATAAGGCACTTATGTTGACGTCGACATTTACTTCTCCGTTTCTCTATATAGTTTAAAAGATTTGCCCTAGTAGAATAGAAATAATTCCCTTGTCATCAGAATTGTTGGAGAATATACCGCTCAGTCTCGAGATTTTGTTGGCAAATAAAAACGGAGCCCTTCGAGCTTAGTTTTTATTTGCCAACAAAATCTTGAGGCTGAGGGGTATATCTAAGAAATAATTCCTGCATTGGAGGAATTGTTGGAGAACATACTCCATTAGTGGAGAGATTTTGTTGGCAAATAAAAACCGTGCCCGGAAGGGTGAGGTTTTTATTTGCCAACAAAATCTTGAGACTAAGGGGTATATTCTCCAACAATTCCAAGGACAAGGGAATTATTTCTAATCTACTATGACGAATATTAAAACTTACATAAAGAGAAACGCAGAAGCTAGATTTGGATGTCATCATAAGTGTTTTATGACGTCACAATTGAATGCTATCCTTGTTCATTTGTATCTCAAGGCTTAGAAAAAGTACAATGTAATCCGAACCCAATGTAAATGTTTTCCCACCAATTTGCGTGACGAACAAAAGATACCTCTCTCCTTTTCCTAGAGAAGGCTGTCAAAATTAGAGGAAACTGATTTAAAATTATTGATAATTTGTTGATGACGTTTGTGGTTTATCGGAGAATAATGGCCGTGGTATCTCTTTGATCTATGCAATAACTGTAGTAGAATCTCCAACAATTCCGTCGACAAGAGAATTATTTCTTAAATCCTTACCTATCATGGAGCTCTGTTTGATCAGCTTCACGGCATATTTAATTGTGGCATGTTTTAGTATGTAAGCCTCAGCAGGAGTGATAATTAAGTTGGCCACCACCACCAACTTCACAACTGGTGATTTCACATCCTTGAAGACAAGAAAATGTTACCAGCTCACTGATACATATGTACTTATATACCAGCTCATTGATACTTATATACCAGCTCATTGCTACTTATATATCTGCTCACAGATACTTATTTACCTGCTTTGATACTTATATTCCAGACCACTGATACTTATATTCCAGACCACTGATACTTAAATATCAGCTCACTGCTACTCATATACCAGCTCACTGATACTTATATATCAGCTCACTGATACTTATATTCCAGACCACTGATACTTATATACCAGCTCATTGATACTTATATACCAGCTCATTGATACTTATATATCAGCTCACTGATACTTATATACCAGCTCATTGATACTTATATATCAGCTCACTGATACTTATATATCAGCTCACTGATACTTATATACCAGCTCATTGATACTTAAATATCAGCTCACTGATATTTATATACCAGCTCACACTGATACTTATATACAAGCTCATTGATACTTATATATCAGCTCATTGATACTTATATATCAGCTCACTGACACTTAAATACCAGCTCATTGATACTTAAATGCCAGCTTGCTGATACTTATATACCAAAAGTTGTCTCTTGGTGAAACCTTTTCATTGCTGCCATTACTGGATTTGCTATTATCAAGCAATAAAAAATGCTTGATTCCAATAGAAATGCAAATATTTTTGGCCCTAACAGAAATGTGATTGATGTTTGACTGTAGAACATATATAAAATACAGCTGACCTTGTATGCTCCATCTCTGATGCGAGCTTTAACAAGAGCACTTCCTGTTCTCATTCCCTCCACTAGAATCAGATCGCCCTGTAGACCCTTAGCTTCCAACTGCTGAATGTGATTCGGCATGACATAATGAGACTCCGTAAACTTAGTGATTCTGAAAAATTAGACATAGTGAGACTTGGTAAACTTAGTGATTGTGAAAAATTAGATTCAAAACTTCTTGTTAGAAGTGTTATAAGTTACACCTGCGTATAGATATTGAACACAATGAATTTGATGTACAGCATGATACAAAAGAAAAACAACCACATATATTTTAATGGCTAAACTGTGTCTGAATTAAGTACAGCAAAGATCAAATTAAAACGGGAGTCACCTTACCCCTGACATCTTCACTAGAGTTCCTTCTGAGGGATTAGTTAAATGAACACCTTGTGACCTGTCAGACATACCTGAGAATATCCACCATCTCCTCTGGATGTGTACTTGAGTCTGGGAATACTTCCTGTGACCTGTCAGACATACCTGAGAATATCCACCATCTCCTCTCGCTGGGTACTCATGTCTGGTAGTAAACTCCCTGTGACCTGTCAGACATACCTGAGAATATCCACCATCTCCTCTCGTTGTGTACTTGTGTCTGGAAGTAAACTCCTTGTGACCTGTCAGACATACCTGAGAATATCCACCATCTCCTCTCGCTGTGTACTTGTGTCTGGGAATACTCCCTGTAACCTATCAGACATACCTGAGAATATCCACCATCTCCTCTCGTTGTGTACTTGTGTCTGGAAGTAAACTCCTTGTGACCTGTCAGACATACCTTAGAATATCCACCATCTCCTCTCGCTGTGTACTTGTGTCTGGAAGTAAACTCCTTGTGACCTGTCAGACATACCTGAGAATATCCACCATCTCCTCTCGCTGTGTACTTGTGTCTGGAAGTAAACTCCTTGTGACCTGTCAGACATACCTGAGAATATCCACCATCTCCTCTCGCTGTGTACTTGTGTCTGGAAGTAAACTCCTTGTGACCTGTCAGACATACCTGAGAATATCCACCATCTCCTCTCGTTGTGTACTTGTGTCTGTGAGTAAACTCCTTGTGACCTGTCAGACATACCTGAGAATATCCACCATCTCCTCTGGCTGTGTACTTGTGTCTGGGAGTAAACTCCTTCTGACCTGTCAGACATACCTGAGAATATCCACCATCTCCTCTCGTTGTGTACTTGTGTCTGGGAGTAAACTCCTTGTGACCTGTCAGACATACCTGAGAATATCCACCATCTCCTCTCGCTGTGTACTTGTGTATGGTAGTAAACACCTTGTGACCTGTCAGACATACCTTAGAATATCCACCATCTCCTCTCGCTGTGTACTTGTGTCTGGAAGTAAACTCCTTGTGACCTGTCAGACATACCTGAGAATATCCACCATCTCCTCTCGTTGTGTACTTGTGTATGGTAGTAAACTCCTTGTGACCTGTCAGACATACCTTAGAATATCCACCATCTCCTCTCGTTGTGTACTTGTGTCTGGGAATACTCCCTGTGTCCTGTCAGACATACCTGAGAATATCCACCATCTCCTCTCGTTGTGTACTTGTGTCTGGGAGTAAACTCCTTGTGACCTGTCAGACATACCTGAGAATATCCACCATCTCCTATCGTTGTGTACTCGTGTCTGATAGTAAACTCCTTGTGACCTGTCAGACATACCTGAGAATATCCACCATCTCCTTTCGCTGTGTACTTGTGTCTGGGAATACTCCCTGTGACCTATCAGACATACCTGAGAATATCCACCATCTCCTCTCGCTGTGTACTTGTGTCTGGGAGTAAACTCCACTCAAACTCTAATCCAGCCAAAGTGGAAAACACATTTCCTACAACAAACACAGAAGTTTGTGAGCTTAAATTTTTTGTTTTTATCTTTAACCTTCCATACAGATCTTATGTCTTTTGAATCTATGAATGCTAACATGACGAGTATTAAGGACCCTCTATACACTGATGAAAAATGTTTTTTGGACTTTGGTGAAAATTATATAACATAAAGGCGGATATTTTGAAATTAACTAACTCATTTTTAATATGGGGAGCGTGCCTTTTTCATTCAGGAAAAATCTTCAAAGACATTGAAGTAATAGAAAAGAAAAATTGCCTTCGCTTACTCAAATGGATAAAATACATGCAAATAAAGTTTTCAAATACTCTATCTTGGTCTAATATAATGTTTAGAATACTTGGATTTATTTTAAATTATGTTATACAGTTCAGATTACAATTTTTTCTACTCATATGTCAAATGGTGGGTCAGTCTAATTACACAGAAGTACCCTAAAAATAGGGTGCAGTGTAGAGAGGGTCCTTAATAAAAGCTGTCAGAGAATATTTTATAAGGGGTTAAAAGTCAGTTCATAGAAGAAGTCTGCATTCAAATTCATCTTTGAAGATCTATAAGTCCTGTTGAAAAAAATCACACAATTTAGTCAGCTTCTTAACATTTAACTCTACCTTCTTCATCATATCCTTTAATAATAAGCTCTTCTGGTGAGTCTTCTAGATACAACAATCGTGTGGTGGTCTCAATTTCAAATCGGGATATTGCCTCCACAATCACTATGCAACGGAGTACTTCTCCAGTTACTATTAAAAAAACAATTAATTTCTATACTTAATATGTTAAAAAAAACTTAAATATTTTTCAGGGTAACCACAAACATTTAACAGTTTTCCTTGTGTAAGACACTACCTTTATTCTCGGCAAGCACCATGGATGTTTTCCTGTAGGGTGACTTGGACACTGCAGAGATCACAGCAGAGAATGCACACTCTCCATCCGTGCTGTTGACGAGCTGAATAGTGGCCACCTCCTGCTGAGTGGACTGCCTGCAAGAATGATACAGAATTGCAGTAGAAATGATGTTCAATTATATGCATAACAAGGATCTAACTGTAGGCTAGTGAATACAGGGGGAGACATGATTTTCGAACGATTGACTGGGTTGAGTGACTGGGTTGAAAAACATGCAGACCAAGGCTTTCTTTGACAGAGTGAAGTTTTTTTCTAAATAAAAAACAAAAGTGTGGTTGTTTGTGTTAGGACAAATTACGGAAAGGTATCAAGATAACTGATTATATCTACTATATGCTTAGTTATTGCCTACTGAACTTCAAGTCAAACAAAGTGACATCAGAATTCTATGCCATGTATAGGTCCATTCAAATTTCTACCTACACAGCTATATATTAGCTACCTAGGTATTTAAACCTACTCAAAGAAGCTACTTCTACCTGCTTTTTACCTGTCTTTAAAATAGAGATAATAATTAAGGTGCATCTTTAAAACAGGTCAGACTTGTTGTTATTCTGGGTGTAAATTTATAAGGGTGGAGACTGGAGAGGAAATGCATGAAGAATCGCCCCAAAACCTTTTACCTTTAGGATGCATGAATACCAGTTTTTATATTAATACAGATTAGCATGACATTTGAGGCTTCTTACGACTTACCTTTGATTCTTAGCTCTTAGATTTTAGAAAATGGAGCTGGATATAGTTAGTTACTGATGCAAAGTAGATAAGTTAGAAATAATCATTTTTGGTCAAAATCTTTGTTGCCTTCATTGTCAGTGTGACTGTATCAAGAAATTTGGTAATCACCTGACACCATATTTCTACATTCCCGCATTTGCCCATGTTATGAATGAAAAGTAAAAAGTAGGTAAAAATAGCTATCTGAGTAGGTTTTCATATGTTGGTAGCTAATATGTTGACGGTGCGACTGTTGGGGCGAGTTCATTGTTCACTTAATTTTAAGATCCGCCTCTTTAAACCGCACGAGACATTTGGAACGTCTAGACTGTGACGTCACATGATGTTGTATGTTAGCTGCATTTCCATAAACAAAAGTTTGAAAAGTGCTTAATAAAGCACTTTTAATCTAGGATCTGTATGCAATATCCATTAAATTAAGGTGAGTTTATTTTTTGTGAATTTTTAGTTGATTACCCCGAGAACGATGTTAGCAGTGAGAACAACAAGCGTTGCATTGTGGGTCCAGAGTTACTGCGTAAAAAAATTCTATTGAATGAATGTGCAGTCGTCCGAATTTTCTCTTCGCACAGGCATTGTCGTTAGAGCTCGCAGTGACGATAAATAGCTCGCGATCAATAGCTTAAGTATGCCATCCGACAACAAATTCACAACAAGCAAGTTTATAGTCTGAAGAGACGACTATAAACGGTTAGGAGGTAGATAAAATATACATGTTGGTTAAAGAATATGTCTAGAATTAAGGAATGAAAAGTAGTTGATTGAGCAATGCTGGAAAGCAGTCAGGGGTGAGACTGAAATTCGTCATTTCTGAAAAATGACGGATAATCGTCATATTTACTAACTACATATTTTCGTCATTTTTGTCAATATGACTTACTATTGTCATATTTTCTTTTTCAACTTAATTCTTCTATCCTGGTTGCATAAAAGCGAAATTTGAATTCACCGCTAAAAGAAGAGTGTTTACGCAAGTTTCATTTCATCCGGGTCACTAATTACTGCCGACCATGTGCGTTAGAACATCAACATGGAAGGTGAAAGTTATTATTTAGCTGTAAAATGTTGAATTTTGGTAGAACATTCGCCATTTTTACATGGCTTTTAGCCCTATAAAAACATATAGTACACCGTCTGGAAGAATACGTACTTGTAGAGAAAAGTCTCGACAAAAAGTTAAAGCCATAAAAAAGTAGTGCGCCCCGTAAAACAAGCGAGATATTTCAGTGCGCCCAGACCCTCCATTTTGAAGAAGATGGAATATTGTCATTTTCGTCTTCTTTCCTATTTAATGCAAATTAATTGACAAATAACTCTTCCACTCTTATTTTTGCTTGGGAAATTTGTACTGTCAACATAACCAGTATTGTAGTCAACTGTATTAGAGAAATGAAGTTTGTTTTTGATGTTTTTTGTCCTTTTTTCGGTTGGTGGATCTAACATTTTTCAAAGAGAGGTAACTCAGTATTCTAGAAACACTCTAAATTTTTATGACTGTTTTTCGTCATTTTCTTAAAAATGATGAGTTTAAGTCATAATAAAAATTTTATTTTATGACTAAAAATCGTCATTTTAAAAATGATGGATTTCAGTCTCACCTCTGACTGGAAAGTGGCAAAATACATCTCCAAAGTGCGCAGAAAATCTTGAACCGTAAATTGCACTTTATTTACATTATGGGATCTGTAGCGTTATGGTCAAAGACCAAAATATAAAACCATAAAACCATAACGCTACAGTTCTGCAGCTATAGCTTAAGTAGTTGAAATGTAGTCTTTGGACCAGGTCCAGGAAAATCACTATATTTAGCTATATAGCTTAATTTACCTATATAGCTTTATTTACCTATATAATATAGCTTTATTTAGCTATTTTAGAATAAGTTTCTGTTTTATGAAAAGCAAACAAAAAGTCGCATGAAAATTATGGCTGATATTTTTTTAAAAAAGGTTTGATAAAAACAACCTAGGGCATAGATAGTAAAAACATTGCCTCTTTTAAACACTTTTTAACCAAAAAATGCATCTCTATTGTTTGGATAGCTGTCCATTACTGGAAGTGCGATGAGGCATGACTAAGTGTGATTGCCTTGCATTGTGCTGAATTATTACCAATCAATTATCTTGTTGACCAAAACTGCTTTTCTTTGTTAAAGTAGCTGCTTATTCACAGATTAACTGTTATACATAGCCCCAAAACTTTTAGATCTTTGATTGCAATTGCACAAAAGGAGAAACATTTTTAAAAGTGGGTTTTTGGTGAATTGTTTTCAGTCCATTTCAAAGTTGAAAACTAATACTGCCGCATTATGCGACTTTTTGTCTGCTTTTCATAAAACAGAAATTTACTCTGAAATAGCTAAATAAAGCTATATTATATAGGTAAATAAAGCTATATAGGTAGATTTAGCTATATAGCTAAATATAGTGATTTTCCTAGACCTGTTTGGACTGGACCTCTGATGTACACAAAGTATAACTTAAGCTAAATGATTCAAGTGTAATGTGCATTATGACTGGCTTTTTCAAACTTAAATAAGGTAAAAAGACATTTTTATTAGAGCACATGCTAAGAAAGCTGAAACAGTCATTGTAGCATAGCGACCTACCATGTGTAACAACTGTCTGGAAGCCTGGCTTCTTCTCTCGATAAATTGATTTTCAGAGTGAAATTAGTAATAACAGAGCTATGGTATGGCAAAAGAATCTTAGGATCGCTTAATCTTGCTGAGTTTATGACAATCACTGCGATGGTCAGGAAAATAAATAAACACAAAACTGTGTTTTGATTTATCTTTGCCGCCATTCTTGGATGAATGGGGGCTGCCATGAAAATAACCTCTAAACCAAATAGTTATCAATTTTCATTGAAAAAAATAACATTTCTTAATCTAGAATTAATTTTGTTCCAATAAGAATGTTAAATATTAGATAAAAGACCAAAAAATAGGTAATCTAATGAACTACAAATTATTGATCTTGTTTAGAGATTATGAAGCACTGACGAAATTTCCCGGATGACACCCCGCCATATTTGTTTATGAACCACTTAGCTTCCTGGACAAGACGGCTGAAATAGTATCCATGGTGGGTTTTTATTAACATAGATCGTCAAGAAAGCCTCCAAAATGGCAAGTGATTTTGATCCAGAGGACAAATACAGGTAAATATGCGTGAGTCACAAGGAAACTCGAACTAGAGAGCCCCTCCTATAAAAAAACCTTCATATACAGATGAGATAGATATATCTGAAGTTAGATGTTATACAAATGAGATAATATCGTTTTGTAGGCATTTAGCTAAAAATAAAATAAAAACAAATACAGAAACATGAATTTCTAGTGTCAGTACAATTTTCATCAGGGTTTACATTGTGGTGGTATTCTAGTAATGCTATGACTCACAACTTTAAAAATTTGTGAATGACATAATTGTTAATGACTTTAATGTGCAGCTGACTTTTCCTGTTATGAAACTACTTGAAAGGACTAGTTATGTCATGTGTGGAAAGTTGTAAACAATTAACAGTTCATTCTAACTGTATCTTGCAGTCATAGTGATGATGCAAAATATCAGGCTTTTCTTGAAAAATCTTGTTCTGTACTAAAAATCTTACACACAATCAGTAGCGGTAGACAGACACCTCGGCCCAACGACACCTCGGCCCGTCACTTTTGACACCTCGGCCCTGACAGATCGGCCCAAAATTATTGACACCTCGGCCCATACTGAAGACACCTCGGCCAATGGATTTTTTTTTTTTATTTTCAGAATTATTATCTGTATTCACTATGGTAATATAAATGTATGTGTGTATAATGACGATATGTAATCGATAAATAGGAGCAGATAATTTCAGAATTTTTTAACGAACGACAGCATAGATGTCAGCGAGTATCTATTGCGTGGGAGGTAAGAGGTCTATTTATTTATTCATTTTGTTGCTTATTACAATGCAACTTTATTCATTTCATGATGTTAAGAATTCTTTTTTTTGGTTAGGATATGTTAAAAATTGCATATAATCTAACATTTATTTTCACTTAAAAATTTTCTGAGGGTCTTTAAAAAAACTAACTGGTTTTCAATTAGTTGTTGACGTATGTATTTCGATCAAAAATATCAAGCACCCAATGATGGACCTAAGTTCACTTGATTGACGGGGGTACACAGACCGGGTAAATCTGAAGGCGGTGCTTATTATCTGGAGCTTTAATCCTGCTCGTAATTAACTCCTCATTGTCACCACCCCATATGACTCTAAAGGATGCACCGCATCTTCTTGTTTGTTTAACAATTAGCACTTTGTAATGGATTATCTTTTTTTTAATTACCGTCAATTTACTCTTGGAAGATTATTCATTTATTTTCTTTCTCGCTTCATAGATATATAACAATATAATCCGTCGCATAATTCTTGTATAGTCCCTATCATAATAAAATACTTCAGAATATATTGAATAAATATATTCAAAATAATACACTTTTGTTTGTGTCGAGGTGTCTTTTATGTAAGCCGAGGTATCTCAAATCTTGGGCAGACCCGTCGGGGCCGAGGTGTCAATGGGCCGAGATGTCGTTGGGCCGAGGTGTCTGACATTCTCAGTAGCAAACATCATACATGTATTGTAGTAAAAAAATACAACGTTTTGGATTAAAACTCCCAAATGTTCTGCAGTAAGAATCATACATGTTCTGTAGTAAAAATCATATACAAGGTCTGTAGTAAAGATCGTAAACACATTCTGTAGTAAAGATTGTACACATATTCTGTAGTAAAAATTGTACACACATTCTGTAGTAAAGATCGTACACACATTCTGTAGTAAAAATTGTACAGTAAAACTCATTTAGTATGAACACAGATATATTTTGGGTCTCCAGCAAAATTCTGAAGCAGTAATTCTTTGTAAAATTTTATGGTTATAACAAATTCTGATATAACAAATTTATTTTGATTTTATTTTTATTATTTATACTTCACTAAAAATCCTATCACTCTGTAGTAAAAATCTTACAAATGTAACAAATGTAACAGGAAGGAGGATATTTATGGCTGGACTAGGAATTGAACCCTGTACACTTACATCACTAGTCAGGTGCTCTAACCATTGAGACATCCAGGCCTATATCAATTGTCCATTTAATCCAAAGCACCACACACATTTCTGTTCTGTTTTATATAGTGAGCTAATTAGAGCAGCACCAATATTGTTCTATGCTTTCCGATTTTGATTTTTTTGGTTTTCTGATTTTTTTTTCAACAAATATCAATTATTTATATTATAAACTTTGAGATTCCATGATTCTATTTCTCTTGATACCATGCAAACCTATGTATACCAGGGTTGCATCTAAGACCCGGGGGCCAGGGAATTTCCCCACCTATAATGATGTAATTCCCAGGTTAGGCTTTTGGTATTCACCTAAAACTCTCCATTAGGAGAGGAACCCCAGACCACTTCTTATTATTATGCTGACTATTGTATAAAAATGACAATATTTTCTCCATTTCCAATGTTTCATCACCTTTTACATTCAGTATACCCCTATTATGACGTCATGTTGTGCTACATGTACGTCATAATCTTTTCTCTATCATTTTGAATGTTTCATGCATTAGGTATAATGTACACAAAGTTTCAGAGAATTTTAGGTGAAAGGGAAAATAGCTAGAACCTACTTTAGAAAAATTATTTTGATTTTTTTTTATGAGTAAAATATTTGAAACTAAGTTTATACATGTATATATTAAAACATAGAGTTTTAGGTAACGGTGTCTGTGGCGTAATCGATAGCGCGTCAGACTGACAATCTTGGGGTCGTGAGTTCGATCCCCGGCGTGGCGCTGTCGGATTTTCTTCAGAATAAGAAGCCATGCACTATTTCAGCGTAGTATGCTTATGCTGTATAATTCCTTAGAACACTATGTGAAAAAAGTTTTTTTTTAACTTTTTTTTTTTTACGGAAATAGTTGGGTAGTGATTATATAGAGACAAACTGACAGGAAGCATAATAAAATTAATATTTTATATTGATGGGCTATATTGCCAAAGGTTATATTGACTGAATATTAAACCATGTTAATTGTGCTGGTTTTGTTTGCTTTTTTCTTTCTTTGTTATGTAATATGATTTTTGTCTATTGTTTATTGTTTGGGTGAAGTGTAGAAAGGAAATGTAACAACCAAATATTTGTTGTTTTTTTTTGTAGTTGGTATTTTGGGACCCTTTCCCGGGAGGAGACCAATGAGATTTTAAATCCGACAGATCCCGGGGTATTTTTGGTCCGTGATAGTCAGTCTATAAAAGGAGACTTTGTTCTCTGTGTCAAGTAAGTACACACACTGAATTACAAATGGAATTGATTTTAAATTTCAAATTTCATTTGAAAGAAGGAAATCTAACCGTATAAATTGTGTAAATAATAATAATCTTAGCTTGTATTTTTAATATATATAAACACTTCTCACTTCTGTGATAAGATTATAATGACATGTGCACAATGAGAAGACCTTGAAGCCTGTATTTTGTCAGAGTAAATGTTAAGCATTGTATATTAAGGAAGCAGTTATCATTACTGCTTTAATGACTGTATTACTGTAATTTGATAGTACTGTCCTTTACTTCCTGATTCTTTATTTTCAGAGAGGAAAACAAAATCAGTCACTACATCATAAACAGAATCCATGTGGGGACGGGGACGAGATTCCGGATCGGAGATCAGGAGTTCTCAGACATTGCTAGTCTCCTTAGCTTTTACAAAACACATTACTTAGATACCACATCACTAATTAAGCCTGTAAGTAATTACCACATCACTAATTAAGCCTGTAACTAGATACCACATCACTAATTAAGCCTGTAAGTAGATACCACATCACTAATTAAGTCTGTAAGTAGATATCATGTCACTAAGGCTGTAAGTAACCACATTACTTAGATACCACATCACTAATTCTACCTGTGAGTAACCACATTATTTAGATACCACATCACTTATGAAGGCCATAAGTAAACACATTACTAATATACCACATATCCTATTAAGGCTGTAAGTAAACACATTACTTAGATATCACATCACTAATTAAGGCTGTAAGTAGATACCATATCACTAATTAAGCCTGTAAGTAATAGACAAGACTGTGTGTTCTATATTTCAATTGCTTCAATTTACTGTACACACTAGTGACATACATGTAAAATAACTTTAGAAAGTATATATCAACTAAATAAATCATTGCATTTGTCAAGGTAAGTCGTGTGAAGTTATGGTAGAGAATAAGGAAATTATCTGATAAAGTGGGCTGCCTATCTCATATATCATCTCTTACTGTTAAGATCTTACAACAGCAATTGCTCTTAATACACTAGGATATGTCAAATATATTTTTTTCATTGGTGCAGATTCTGAGATGTCGGTGATATTGTTAAGTTTTGGCACTTGAAAAATGCTTATAGGGAAAATTCAGTGTGTACATTATGTAAATAGGTCACATAAAAACTGACTGGCGTCAACGAGAGACCAGTAGCAAAACATAGGAAATTCCTTGCTATCATGACTATTGTGACAAAATTTGTTCATTAAGAACTTGAAAAGCTTTGCAAATTAACATATTGTTATTTTTCAGGATTGTGAAGATGTTACAGATTTTAAAATTCCTAAATATTTAATAGAATAAAGGAAAATGTTTTCTTTGTTATTCTTCTAAATGACTTGAGTCATATTAAGCAGGATTAAATGTGTAAAAAATGTCCATAATTTTAGATTCGTACAACAAAAATTGGATCCTGATCAGTTGTTTTATTCTTCAGAAATTAGAATGAATTATTCTTTAAAAGATGTTGAACAATTTCATTCCAGGCACCCAGGGACAAGGTTGTTGCCAAATTTGATTTTCCAGGAAGGGTAAGTATAACTGTAAACTCTGCTTATTCATTATTACTTAACAGTTCAGTTTTGTTTACAGTCAGTTTAAGGACAGTTAAGTTTACAGTTAGGTAAATTTACAGTCATTATGTTCAACCAAGCTGTAACATTTCTTTAATCCACACGTAATCCCTATGTCTTGTCAAGAGAAATTGAATATCTTTTAATACATGTATTTTTTTTGTTATTAGCTGGATGAAATGAGCATTTCTGATTGAAGTTCAATATGTTGTCTGCACTAACTTTTCACATTTTCAACTTCTTCAGGACATTTATCCATAGCCAACAATTTAAAAAAGATCATCCTCCAACGTAGCATTTGCCTAGAAAAGTTAAAAACTAAGTTAGAAATGTCAAAACTAAGTTAGAAAAGTCAAAACTAGAAACCAAGTTAGAAATGTCAAAAAAAAAGTTAGAAAAGTCAAAACTAAGCATGCCTTGTCAGAAAAGTCAAACTAAAATTAAAAAAAAGTCAAAACTAAGTGAAAAGCCTCTTTTTATACTGTAAATTGAATTCAAGACTGATTCTAAGTTGTTGTTTTTTTAATTCATGTATGTATTGAATATCCTTAACTATTTGTAGTGATCACATTTAGTATATACATGTATGTCTGGTGTATTTTATGGATTAAATTAGAACTTGTCCTTGATTCTAGCTTCGGTCAAACTTTACAATTTTTTGCAAGAGGTGAAGAACTGAAAACATAAATATTTCTGTTATTATACTTTTATTTTTATCATACATTGATTCTATTATTATACATTGTATAAATAGTGCACGTTTTTGAGGGTAACAGTTGAAATTGACATCCCAAGGAAAACCATTGTCAACCGACGCGTCAGCGGAGGTTGACAATGGTTTTCCGAGGGGTGTCAATTTCAACTGTTACCCTCAAAAACGTGCACTATTTATTTTATTATACTGAATGTCTTATTGATTTCGGATGTCATAAAAAAAATTTGGAGATCGTCGTTAAGTTCACGCTTAGAAAGCTTTCAAACTCCCTGCTTCTATTTTTCTCAATAAGAAAGCTTCAGAAAAGATTTACCAACCTCTTTATTGTTTGTTTGATACTCAAAAAGTCCTTTATCATCTAAAGTTTGCACTCGCAAGGATGTTTCGTCTGTCGTTTGTTGTTTTCAAGTAAGCTACATCAGATGCAAGCTTTTATTGATGTCATTTATTCGGCTTCTTTCAAACGCACAACCGATGTTTTGAGAATACTACGGTGAACCGTACGCGCATGATTTGAACGCATGTGATATTTTCGTAATGTTACCCGTTGTCAAGTGTGTTGCTAACACTGAGGGTAACATTAGGGATTGTTAAATGCGTCTAAACCAATCAGTTTTTAGTATTTAACATGAAAGTATAATAAACAAGCATTCTGAGAGTATTGCATTAGCAATACTAGTCCCCTACCGGCAAGTGTAATCTGGTTCCCGTTAAGAATTGAAAATGCCATAATTCCGTCAAAAATTAATGAAGCTGGACGAAATGCAAACATGATCTATAACTAATCAAGGTAAAGCCACATACCAAAAATCAGGTCAATATCTACAAGCGTTTAGAAGAAAATTGCGGAAAACCCTTAAAAATTGAAAAGGCCGTAATTCCGTCAAAAATCAATGAAGCGGAACGAAATGCAAACTTGATCTGTAACTCATCAAGATACACTCACATACCAAAAATCAGCTCAATATCTGCAAGCGTTTAAGAAAAAAGTGCGGAAAACCAAGTGGGACAGACTGACAGACAGACAGAGGGACAGACAGACGGACGGACAGACTCAGAGGAAACCTATAGTCCCCTCCGGTTTCACCGGTAGGGGACTAATTAAAATTTAAGGGTAACCGTTTCCCTTTTTTGCACATGGTGAACCTTCTTCAGTCTTGTTCCACTGAGAATTATTCTTTTCAGATTCTTAATTGACAACATAATACTATAATTGGCCATACAGCATATTTAATACTGGTATTCTGTGAAAAGCAGAAAGTTATAAATATAGACACAAGGCATTTTAAGAATAAACATACATGTATGGTTGTCTTTAAAATTTTTGTCATTTGGTGAAAAATGTGTATGAAGAGTTTTCCCTATACCCCTAACTTTATAATTTCTTGAAAGATTAGTGATTTATTAGTCCCCTACCAGTGAAACCGGAGGGGACTATAGGTTTCCTCTGAGTCTGTCCGTCCGTCTGTCCGTCCGTCTGTCTGTCTGTCTGTCAGTCTGTCCCACTTGGTTTTCCGCACTTTTTTCCTAAACGCTTGCAGATATTGAGCTGATTTTTGGTATGTGAGTGTATCTTGATGAGTTACAGATCAAGTTTGCATTTCGTTCCGCTTCATTGATTTTTGACGGAATTACGGCCTTTTCAATTTTTTCGGGTTTTCCGCAATTTTCTTCTAAAAGCTTGTAGATATTGAGCTGATTTTTGGTATGTGGCTTTACCTTGATTAGTTACAGATCATGTTTGCATTTCGTCCCGCTTCATTAATTTTTGACGGAATTATGGCATTTTCAATTCTTAACGGGAACGGAACCAGATTACACTTGCTGGTAGGGGACTAGTATTGCTAATGCAATACTCTTAGAATGCTTGTTTCTTATAATATCTCTTAATTAATACTTCAATATCATAATAACAATTAACACCTGGAATAGTACTAATGTGTGTAATATTTTAGTGGCATAAGAACTGACGATGACATGATTGACTATAAATAGATACCCAGTAACTATAAAACTAACAGTAAAACATCAGAAAAAGAGAGGGTTTCAGGTGTGCAAGTCAGACATCTAGTTTGGAATCCTTCTTGGACTTCCCAAATCAGACTTACTGTAGAGTACACACACTGTATATATAATGTAGGATTTTATTTAACAAAGATATTTTAAAATGTTCAATAGAATTACATTGTATAAGGATATAAATAGGGAAAGTAATGTTGAAGCATCTCTAATATTATTGTGATGCATAAACTTGCTAATTAGTCCCCTACCGATGAAACCGGAGGGGACTATAGGTTTCCTCTGTGTCTGTCCGTCCGTCCGTCTGTCTGTCCGTCTGTCCCTCTGTCTGTCTGTCAGTCTGTCCCAATTGGTTTTCCACACTTTTCTTCTAAACGCTTGCAGATATTGAGATGATTTTTGGTATGTGAGTGTATCTTGATGAGTTACAGATCAAGTTTGCATTTCGTTCCGCTTCAATGATTTTTGACGGAATTACGACCTTTTCAATTTTTAAGGGTTTTCCGCAATTTTTTTCTAAACGCTTGCAGATATTGACCTGATTTTTGGTATGTGTCTTTACCTTGATGAATTAAAGATCAAGTTTGCATTTCGTTCCGCTTCATTGATTTTTGACGGAATTATGGCATTTTCAATTCTTAACGGGAACCAGATTACACTTGCCGGTAGGGGACTAGTATTGCTAATGCAATACTCTCAGAATGCTTGTTTTAAAAGCACCAGATCCTTGAAGGCACATTGAAGGATGAGGAGAAATGTAACTCAGGCTAGAGTTTTGGCCCTTGGTCCTCTTGTATTTGGTGAGGATTTAATAGTTGTTTGACTTGACATTCTGGATCTTTTGACAGGACCCTGAGGATCTGCCGTTCAGGAAGAGTGAGGTGTTAGATGTCATCTCTAAGGATGAAAAAGACTGGTGGACCTGTAGAAACAGCAGAGGAAATGTGGGTCAGGTTCCCGTCCCCTACGTCTCAAAGGTTAGTATCAGGGATAACCACAGTCTAACAGCAGAGGAAATGTGAGTCAGGTTCCTGTCCCATAGGTTTCAAAGGTTAGATCAGGAGTGGCCAGAGGAAATGTGGTCAATTGTCTGTCCTCTATGTAGCAAAGATTAGTATCAGGAGCAACTACAGTCTAACAGCAGTATCACAAATATTGAAGATTTAAATTAGACAAGGATAAGCTTAATTTGTGGTAAAACCAATACTTATTACACTAGTTCTACCAGTATCCCAGTTATATATCATTTGACTTTAAGTTTCCAAGCATTTACAAGACCTAGAAGACTGAAGTATACAGAACTGACAGCTCAAGTAAATCTTTAAAAGATTGGAAATTCATCAAGACACCAAGTTCTAGCTAATTTAGTTTTTACCTTTTGAGACTTTAAATATGTTACTAGGTAACAATGTGGTCTTTATTTTATATTTACTTCATTGTATTGTTTTTCAGTTTGACCCAAACAGTCCCCCAGTGGTTACGACCCCTGCTGCACCCGCTCAGTCACCCCCATCACCCACGCCAACCCAGCCAATCAAAGAGGTACACATATGTATAACACAGTCAATCTAAGTTGTACATCCATGTAAAATGTAGCTAATTTACGGGGTACAGTAACACACACAACCCAGCCAATTAAAAAGGTACTTGTACATTTATCTAATCATTAATCACAGCCCATTTAAGATGCTGGAAAATACATGTACAGCAAATCAAAGAGGTAAGTACAATACAAGTAATTAAAGAGCTACCTGTATGTACAACACAACCAACTGATGAGGCAGTCTACATGTACAGTGTACCTGCTTATGGAAGATGAACTAGGAACTAGTTTTCATCTACATTCATAGGGGTCTGACAATATGGCTTAAGTGTTTTATGATATGTGGGATACGTTCAGACTTATCATAATGTGCATTGTGGTATATTGTCTTTCATTATATTTATATAATTTAATTTTGGTTGTAATGCATCATTTGATTGGATAAAAAATTATTTTATATCGTATAACCTGTGTTGCCTATGTCACAATGACTTCCGTCAAAAACCTATCAATCTGCTTGACAGTACGTTTAAAATATGTACAATTTGAAGGCATTTTTGAAGGAGAAATTGACTTATTTTGTACACTCAATGGTGGAAAATTAAATCATAAGGATTTACATTACAGAAAAACATTGCACAGAACTAATTGATTTTTTTTCTCTTGTTTTTAGATTCAGCTTCCAGCAAAAGCTGTGGTCATCCACCAAAGGATACCGAGTGCCTACGATCGCACTCAGCTTAAACTAGAGGTCTGTTTTTGTGTCACTTGTACTGAATTGTTTTACAATCCTGTTAAATTAGAGTGAAAGCAAATACTTCCTTCTAGAAATAAATAATTAAACAGATCTTCCATGTAACATGGAAAAATGTTGACAAGTTTGTAACAGTATGCATCTATGTGATTTTTATTATTACAGAAAGGTGAAACTATTATTGTGACAAAAATGAATTCAAATGGACTCTGGGAAGGCGAAGTGAATGGAAAAAAAGGAATGTTTCCGTTTACCCATGTGAAATTTTTAGATGACATTTCTGAGGATGGGACATAACAGGATGCTCGTTAATGTTAACAAATTACTGTCTATTAATAGTGCTGATGTAACAATAAGGAGTCTGGGAATCGTCTTCCCTGGTGGTGCTGCATTACTAATCTGATACCAAAAACCAGAAACTGAGAGTCAGTAGGCTTGTCAAATTGTTTTCTGTCAATAAGCTTGTCCAGAGAGTGTATAAAATGATTGTAACCCACATCTCTGTGTCAAAAGTAGGGATCAAATCTTTATTATGCTTCATGAAATCATTAGATTTACACAAGTATTAAAAAAATTGGCTAAAAATTGAAATTTATGAAGTTTTTTAAGAATTCATTCAGAGGTACATGTATATCAATATGTTGTGACATTAAGAATGGGTCACAAAATAAGTGTTATAAATATGGCTAAACAATCTATTTAATGATATGGCATGTACATGTATGTATTTGTATTTGTTAAATCATATCAGTATTACAATGTTAACCAGTAGGTTAGATAATATGTACATGTATGTGTAGGATGTATGTGTTAATTTACTAGCCAAAAATATACATTAAGTGAACAGTCAACATGCATTCTTTGTAAATTATCGCCCTCTTCCGACTCTACAACGAAGGAATACAGTTCATATCTTGAATTCATTCAGATTTGTGTTGAAAATTTGAAGAAATGCTACAAGCTTTACTCATCTGCAGTCTGCCAACAGGCCTATGAAGGTTAAACTCCTTGTGGGAATATATTCAAAAGTTGCTGAAATGTTTGCTTTCAGTTGTGACTTCATATGTGTATACTAAGTTTTAGTGCATGCATTAAATGTTGTAAAAAAAGGCCACCTTTTCAGGAAATTACACAAAACTTCTTTTTGATACTTGGTTTGAAATGTAACATTTTGATATAATTTCTTTACCTTATTGTTGAATTACTATCAAAGCTGGTCCTTTTTTTATCAATTTGATATGCCTACAGTTATTTTTGGTGTGAAACAGCTTCAGAGATTAAATGAGGCTCCTGAAAATATGATAAATGAGAGTCTAAAATAATAGTAAATTAACAGTTGGGCTTTTTTCCCTTACTTAGGTGTAATATGTTATACATCATATTATTTAAAGTGATTCATATAGATGAAATAAGTGTTCTGATGTCTAGCTGTACACTTCTAAAAGTTGTGTAGTGCGATGTCTAGTGATGTATGTGATAAGGCCAAATAAAAAAATATGTGTGGTTCCGGTTACCCGACCGTCCCTATTTTATACCCCTGACCCTAAACTTTTTTTGGCAATTTTCATATTTTTTCCGGAATTTTCCCCAATTTCCATCAATGGCTCTGGTTTAAGTTTTAGTTTCAGCTATGACGGCCCCCTTGCACAACATAGTGCAAGTGTTTTAGTGTTAAATCCGAAGCAAGCTAGCATGTAGGTGTCCCCTACCAATATTGACTAGTATATTATCACACCACATCTAAATGTCATTTGCAAAGTATTTAGAAAAATTAAGAAAATCATTTTTTTAAAAAAAAAAAAAATCCCTACCTACCTACCCTAATTTTTTTGGAGGTGTAACCGGAACCACACATATTTTTTTGTTTGGCCTAATTAGAGTACTTGGTACATATGTAGGAAGATTGAATGTCTATCATCCATGTATTAAGTTATACAATTTATTTCTGTGGCTGTTAATGCATTAACATTTTACATGCATTTGGACCAATTCTTCAGAGGTCATAATTTTTCATATATTTGTATAATATTTTCACATGTCTGTAAAAAATCGCCAGAGACTTCCTACAAGTGCTAAAAGAAATGATGTATTGATTACATGCATTTTCATTAGAACTAATGTTACCTCAAATTATGCTTATAAACTCAAGTTCATTCAGGATAAAATAACCAGAGTTAAGGAAAACAGATATAGATGATGTAGATCAGTAATTCATTGCTATGAAGTGGACTTGAAATTACGGTCAAAAGAGATTTATAACGACACTGAGAAATTGATCATTTTAAAAAATAATAAATTTTGGGTTTTTTTTTTTAAATGATAAAGTGTAACTAATTGATGATAAACCATAAATGGCTGTTTTTTTTATCATGGTATTATGTGGAACATGTGAAAATTAAGCATTAAATTCAATGTTGAAAGTTCCAGTTTTATTAAAACTTTGTATAAATCTTAGAGTTTTCAATATGAGTTGTACTGCATGCTTTAATGAAATTTTATCAAATAGAGAGTAACTATGTAAGATAAAACAAGCAAACATTGTTCATTACGGTGTATCAGAAATCAACTACATGTACTAGTATTAGATTACAGTATTCCTAGGTAATGCTGTGGTTTAAACCTGTATAAGAAAACAATTTTTGCATGGTTCAATTCTCAGACTTAATTAATTTCTGAGGTCTGATAAATCTGTTTTTATTCAGAGAATGCTGTAACACAATTGCTGAAAAACTACTTCTTGAATAAAACTTCATATGCATACCATTTTCTTTCTTGTATTAGGGGTGTAGTCCAGGATTTTTGAAGAAAAAAAAAATCCAATCTCAAAAAGGTGTTATGGAGGGCTTTTCCTGCTTGTATGTGTGTCGCATTTTTTTTGTATCAAGGCACTAACTCTATGATGTATTTGTCAATATGTAAATTTTGTTTCAACAACGTTTTCAAGCCTGTCGCATTCTGAGTGTGCTCGCCATTTTTACCATGGTCTCTGTTTGGCAGAATCTACATGGAATTGTGGATTTACTGAGAAAGTTCTTGTCTTGGAAAAAAGGGGGAAAGAATAAAGGGATCCCATCTTAATGAGTTTGAGTATTTGGAAATCTTGGATACCCTGACATGGAAATCTAGTGCCGAGGGTCTCTGGAATCTCCAACATTTAACCTGTATACTAGAAAATGTATAGAAAATACCTTTAATATTATATTTTCTACAATGCCATGAGGTGCTATCCCACCAAATGTTGTTCATTGTATCCCTTCATTGAGGGAATTCTAAGCCTGTATTTATAATACTTATATTAACTACTGTATATCCACTTCTCGAAGAAACACAGGGCCAATTTTCCCCCAAACTTAACACAAAGCATCCTTTGGTGAAGGGTTGTCAAGTTTGTTCAAAAAAGACCCATGCCCTCTTTCAAGGGGAATTAAGAATTGGTGAAAAATTAATGGCATCTTTCAATGAAACTTATGTGACAATTCCATTACACAGTGTAGATTCAAGTTTGTTCAAATCATGACCCCAATGGTAGAGTGGGGCCTCAGTGGATGATCAAAATTATATGTAAGAGTATATAGAAAAAATCTCAAGAACAGCACAGCCATGGTTAATCATATTTATATGGAAACATCCTCAGGTAGTGTAGATTCAAATTTATTCACATCTGTTCATGACATCTGGGACAGGTTGGGGCCACAATAAATGATTAAAGTTTTACATTAGAATATATGGGGGTAAATCTGCTGATGAACAGCAGGGCTACGGTCAGGTGAGGCCCATGAGCCTCTTGTTGGCTGAACTGAGCCAAAGGCTCTTGAAAGTGTTTTTCTGATCAAATCTGTCATTGTCATCAATGTTTTCTCAAACTTTTCACAATTTCATCTTCTCCAGAACTACCAGGCCAATTTCAATCAAACTTGGCACAGAGTATCCTTGAGTGTAGGGGATTCACTTTTGTTCATGCCTTCTTCCAAGGGGAGGTAATTACGAATTAGTGAAAATTGAATGGCATCTTTTAAAAAAAAAATTTGTTCTTAAGAACCACTGGGCTAGAAAATATGAATCTAATGTGAAAGCATCCTCAGGTAGTGTATATTCAAGTTTGTTCAAATCATGACCATTAGGAAAGTGTGGGGCCGCAATGGGCGATCAAAGTTTTAGATAGGAATACATAGGAAATATCTTTAGTGTAGGCAACAGGGCCCTTTTACAGGACCTGGATGCACGGGTTATTAAGCCCTGGTTTTCTGTGAATTATAATTTTTATCAGAGACATTTTGGTACCAATATCTGTATTATTACACCTACATGTTATCTCCATTAACTAACCATGATTAAATGATACAGCTTAGGAATAAAAGAAACATCACACCAAGTACCATATATTTAAAAATCTACAATCATCATAAAATTGATAAAAAACCATGGCACAAAGTTATCTTCTACAGAATATATAGCAATATCTTGTTTCTTTAACAGACTAACTTAATCTTGCTATTATCTTGCTTTTTAACAGACTTTCTCAGAACAATTATTATTTCCATGCTTCATTTATAATAACATTTCAGATTTACTTATGCAATATACAAAACTGCAAGTTAATGTAGAAACTTTACAATGAAAAACATTTGTACATGTTTATTCAATGTATACTGATTATATACAAGATTATTTTCTTATCACTCAAATGACTTGATCATCGCAACATTTTTGACTTTTTTCTCTGGATTATGCTGAAATGTATACAGCAGGGCATCTCGACATCTATTTTATGTACTGGATGACTTTTATTTCTCCTGAATTATATAACCCTACCCACAACCTCCCTTCACTATCCACACTCAGACCATCAGGAACATCTAGTCCACAATTGTCCACACATCTCAGGAGTCGTCCATTTTGATTTAACACGTGTAGACATTCATTACTGCCATCTACTACAATGATGTGACCCCTGGAGTCTGTCACTATTTGTCTTGGGCTGAATGCTTCCTTCCCCCCTGGTGGTTTGTCACTGTATCTGAAGACAATTTTCCCTTTCCTGTCCACCACTACTACTACTTCAGCATTCTGATCAGAGACCACTATGTCTCCATTGTTGTTCTCCACCACATACACTGTGTATTCCCCTCCTTGATAGATTGGATCACCGTGGTCATCTTTCTCTATTTCCTGTGTCACCCCTTGCCCCTGGTAACGGACTATTTTGCACTGTTTATAATCAGCAGTATATATACTGACTAGAATGTCCCCTGACCTGGTACAGCACAGCCCCCCTAGATACCATCCCCTTGGTATGGTGATCAGTGTCTCTGTCTTCCCATCTCTGACGATGTTCACAGTTTTGCTTTTGACATCACTGTATAACAGTTCTCCCTGATTGGTCACTGCTATCTCAAAAGGGTAACTTTTACATGTAGTGGTGACAGTGTCTAGAATAGAACCATTCACATTTACACATGTCATCACATTGTCTTCACCATTAATCCAGCAGGCTCTATCAGATCCAATACAAACCACTTTAAATAAGTTTGTTATATTTGTTGGGATGTTTGCAATCACTTTGGCTTCTTCTAATAATTCTTTAACAGATAAAAAGGAGACATCATCTGTCAGACTGAATAGTGATGTCTGTGTCAGTGTAGCCTTGTATTCTCCTAATTCTATGCTGAGTTCTCTCCCTTGGACTGTGTTTGTTTGAAGAGAGGGCAATGGTAGATCAGGTATTGGTGGAATGTTCCTGTATTCCTTCAGTTTAGATAGGTAGTTGTTGACATCAGACACTTTGTTAGACTTCAGAATTTCTTTGTTTTCTTGAACAGTTTGGATCATACTGGAATTCTGACTTCTGAGTTGGGACTGGCATGATTTTAGAGTTGTAATATGATGATCTCTAAGTGACTGGATTAGTGTTTCAAGGTTACCAAAGATGTTGTCCACCTCTAGGTGCCACTGTTTTCTTTGATCAGTTGCATGTTTTTCAATATCTGCAAAGTGAACCATGGAAACTGAAAGATTGTTTTCCACATCCACATCTTGTGCTGTGTTCTTGGAAATAATGAACTCAATCTCTTCATTTTCTCTCTTAATTTCCTCTTTCTTCTTGACAATGATATCTGCCATGTCATCAAATTCGTGACCTCTGTGGTTAGGCCCTGTGAGACACTTAAGGCAGACGGGGGCATCACACTGTTGACAGTGGGCCTCACATCTCTGGTGAGAATGAGATGTACACTGAGGGAACACAAGCTGTACTGTACGCTTTGTGAAAGGAACAATGTCATGCTTCATGGACTTGAGGCTCTTGACATGTTTGTTGATGCAGTCCTCACACAGACCGACTTGGCAGCTGTTACAGAATTGCTGGACAGGTTTGACACAAAGGTCACAGGTTATGACCTCCTGACCCTGGATGGAGGCAGCAGCCATTGTTGATCCAAGACACCAATCAGACCTCTGGTTAAAAAAAAAAAAAACAGACTCGTGTCACAATCCAGAATTTCTGTAATCATTAAATCCAATGTCGTGTATCGCTTGTAAAACAATCAGTTCAACCCACAGGTACTTGGGTCTTGGCTTATAAATACGTATGTACTTTACTGATATGTAAAAAAAAAAAAAGTACTTTTTTACATATCAATAAGGTACATACTACTCCTACAAGTAAGAGCCTCGGTTAACGTCCCTACGCTCCTTATATACCTCGGACTCGAGGTTACGTGGCGCCAAGTCAAAAGTATCTCGCCGTGAACCTCTAGCATGCTGGAGTAAGGTACATACATATACATACATATTTATAAACCAAGATCCAAGTACCTGTGGTCCAACCTTCCTGACTAGAAACGATTTCAGGATGCTGTGGGGGTTTTTTTGTGGGGAGGGGGGGGGGGGCTAAATAAACGTTTTTGAGAAATACGTTACAGTAAATGTTACATTTGATTCACGTTATATTTTATCCAAAGCTAAGTACACAGGCACTGCCCTGTCTACGAAATAAGTGCCTGTGGCCAAATATCTCTGTTAGCGATTTATTTTTAATATTACATCAGATTTTTTATGAAATATGATTGATAATGAACACTAATGAAGCTCTTTGGAACAATAAAAATTGGGAGCACAGAAAACACGGACCTCTAAACACTTCATAGGAGGGATCAGGTACCATGAAGGAGTAATCATCCCCTGTCTACTGGTCACACACTCCACGTTCCTTGTCAAGATCGGACAAAGGGAAAAAAGCCGTAGACAATTCAGTGTGAAAATAATGGCCTAACAATTTGTATGAAAAACGTTAGTCAAACTATTAACAGTAAGTTAAATTGTATTTGCATTGACCATAGGAAATAAATGTAGTGGTCATGCAGTAGACGTTTTCTCAAGGATATTGGCACAACTAAAACTGAATTAGGGCGTTTAGCCGACATGGATGTAGCCTGTCCACTTACGAATTTTCCCGCGTAAAATAGGAGTACAATCGATTCCGAATCGTGTGACCTGAACATGGTGAATAGGGTATATTAGAAGGATTAAGTAAAGAAGAAAATAAAAAAAAAAAAGACATTTACCTGTCGACTCGTCAAGTAACTGATTAAGCAAGAGTCCTACCCAGCAATAGAATCTTGTACAAAGTTGTAGTTCGACATCGTGATAACGTGGAAAGTATGGTGGGCTCTGAGTTGTCATATTTCACGGAGCGCTGGAAAATAGCACGCTGGCGGATTTAGAGGAGGGGCGTGTGGTGCACGTCCCCTTAATATTTCCAAAAATTAGGTTAAATGTGTATAAATGTAAAGGAATTTAAAATGTGCCTGTCAAAATACGTTGTTTGTCAAACAAACTTAGTGTACATACATGTGTGAACTCAAATTATACAATAATATGTAAATGTCAATAGTTCCCTTATATGATAAATAAGAAATCATCGAGTTTGTATGGAGTATATAGTAAATATTGAGGTAAATCTACCTAAATGATGACAAACTGTTGCCAAAGACCACCCTTAACCAGAAAAACAACACTTGAATAATTTTATTTGGGTATGACTGCACTTCATTACATTTAGATAATTTTAGTTAGAGGTGGTTTTCATATTGAAAATGATGAACATATATATCTCATATTATTTCAAGATTTAGGAATCTGTCCCCCCCCCCTTTTTTTTTAATCATTTCGACATCAATGAACTCGTAGCGCAGTGGTATAAATTGCGGAGACGTAATAGCATGTGGTTATTCTGAGTTCGAACCCAACATTTTCTATTTATGCCTTATATTTTTTTTCTTTGTTTATCTTTTCTACGTTTCTTTATTTCTTTTATAATAACGTATAAACATAATTTTAGAAAGTTCTAATAAACACAATATCTCGGTAAAAAGGATCTAAACGATTTCATGGAATTTTGTAAACAAACTAAATAAATAGAAGCGGGGGATTTCCTTTTGAATTCTCGTGTGCGCCGTGTCGTCCGCAAGGCAAAGATTAGGCACTCTTGTAAGCAGTCTATATCAAAGGGAGGGACGATACAGACATTTTATGCCAAAAAAATTCTAAAGATACTTTCCAACTACAGACATTACTTTGCTTGTTTCAGAAATTCTTTTAAACAACTTCACTAACCTCGGAAAGTGAAGAAGGTAAAATTGGTGATTGTATCTCAGTTGGTAGACATGCAGTCAAGAATTCATAGTCGTAGGAACGGGGGGGAAGGGGGGGGGGTCGTGCCCCCTCCCCAATAATTTTGCTGATGTAGGATACTGTAGAAAACAAAGCTATGAATATACCCCCTCAATAATTACGTCTAATGAAGTTTGGTTTTGTTTTGCTTCTTAAGGAATATTTGTTTGGTTGTGCCCTTCCAAACTGAAAATAATTGTTTGTGCCCCCCCCCCCCCCCACCTTGAATTTGCTTCATACGAGAGAAATTCAATCGTGTTAAAAATGGCCTTACTTTCTGTACGATCTGGATTCCCACCCTTTTAAATGAGCTTTATTTCCAAGAAAAGTTCTTCACTACTACATATTTCTAGTAAACTTTTTTAATCATATGTCTCAAACATATCAAGTATAGCCCAAATATTGGTCGTTTTTATCTTAGACATATATTGCAATTTCATGAGTGTATACTTCTTTTTTTCAAATCAGTTAAATTTGGTAATGTTTCTAATCAGGTAATGTAAATGTAACATATCACATGTAACTTTTACTTATTAAATATTATCACTGCTATTAAAGAAGTTTTCTCAGTATTTTCGCGTCTGTTTGACCAAAACCTGGATTCATTGTCATATATTTACATTACAAGTGTATTTTGCATATAAAATGTGTGGAAATCTATGGAATTCAAAACACCATAACACGGACAGGGGGTCAAAATGTTAAAACATGCGTTTTATTTTGACGTTACAAACGTCGAAGGCCGTGGAAGTGTAACGTCATAAGCGAAAATCAAGAATCACGCTCACATTGAACAGACGCTGTTGAATTGGCTCTTCCATTAACTGTAACTTACTTGAAGGATAACAAAGGGATTTTTAAATATAAATCACATTTGCAGTCAATGCAAGGAGTTTAAAAATGTAAATATAAGCAATGAATCATTATTTTTTTGAAAGATATAGTCTCATAACTGCAACGGTGTGTGCAAACAAATTTTCATAAATTTTCATTTTTCTCAATAACGCGCATTACTCTATATCTTTCAAAAAATAATGATTCATTGCTTAAATAGTGTATTGAATACATGATAATTTAAGTTTGTTCCAACATATTATTTTCATTCAATTTAGATAATAATATAACAATGTTATTTTAGGATAAATTATAATGAAATATAAATTTGGTGGATAGTATAATCTTGCTGGATAGTGTAAATTTCCTAAAAGTCACTGAAAATACATGTACATGCACTTTTAAATTAATAAAACTTCCATAGATTGCTGAAAAAAATAACGCAAACTTTTTTTAAAAAGAAATCAGCGATATATTTCATAGATTTATATTCACATAGGTAACCCAAATAATGTTTGGAAGGGTAAATGCGAAAATCTTGTAAGATTCTGTAATAACGTTAAAAAATGTGTGCAAAATTTTGTAAAGAATTCATAGAAAACGGCATAAAGTCGCATATTTCAGCATCAAATAAAACTTCCTTTTTTTCTCTCCAAACATAGTCATTGTGTCATTCTTTTTAGAAGAATGTATTTTTAAAAAAATCAAATTCCAAGTCAACGTCAAGTTTATTTATTAGATGAATCCTTTTGTTTTCCTTGAAGATCTGAAAATAGAAATCATTCGTGAAATAAATTTAAGGAAACAAATATAATGTCGTGATATTTCCGTTATACGCTATAAAAACTTCTAGAGTCTATCTGAAGGTGAATACATGTGTAATGATAAGAATTAATTTGCATACTGGAGGGAAATGTTGTAACGTTTTAAAAATATGTTTATAGCCTTCATATTATAATTTATAACTTAATGATATGTATTGTTGACACGCGAAATATAACCAAAAAAAAAAAAAATCATTTATTGATGCAACATCAAGTTAATTCCCTATTTAAAAACTTATTTTCATTTCATATCATTTTAGAGCTTTTCAATTCAAGTTTTCATTGTGTTTATATTTTTTATACCCAATTTCATTTAAGCCATATTGAGGATATTTATTTATTTTTAAAATTTTCAGAAGAGTATATGTAGAAAATGAATCCAGATTCTTATGTGTGTTTATTTGATCGATAAACCCTCATGGTTGTATCGAAGATTTGAAAGAATGAAGTTTTTTTTTAAATAATGAGTCTTCCTAACCGTTTTTCGCTAATCAGGGATATATAATTTATAAGATTGTATGATCATGTGCCTATTTTTGCTGCATTAATAAACGTCATTTTTTCAAAAAGTATACAAGAATAATTAATTTGTTTTAAAATACTAGTCTGAATCGAAAGAATTCAATTTTTATCCATAAACGAACGAATAAATAAATAAATAAAATTAAATTGAAATAAAAATCAGAGTCGATTTTTTTTTTTATTCTTTTTTTTTTTTTTTTTTTTTTTTTTTGGTTCTACAAGATACTGATATTCTTTTCACTCACATTTTTTGTCCTGCTTATTTCCCCCCAATTATTTTCGTCTCGCATTTTTTTTTCAGTTAAATTCAGAACAAGAATTATTTTTTGTTTTTAATTTAATCAGTTATAATATATAATTAATTAACAAATTGTTTGAAAAACAGTACAAATTAGTTCTCTCTCTTTCTCTCTCTCTCTCTCTTTCTGTGTTGAGAAATTTTTCCATTTAATAATTTAAAAGCATGTTTACAAATGTTGAATTCCCAGAATTCACCGTCGTTTTAATTATATTTCTGTACATCTGAATTGAAATTAAATTTGACTTTACCGTTGTCCCCTTCGTTACTTTCTCGGGACCCCGTCGGAGACGGCGTGGCTGACCGGCTGCTCTCCGTTATAGGGGGCAGTAGTGACGCTGACGTCATCCCGGCGAACTGATTCTCTGGAGCACAAAAATAAGGTTAAAATTCCTAAATATGTCTGTGATTAATTTTTTTTTGATTAACTGGTTACATTTAAAATCAAATAGATAAAAACATAAATAGATAGCTAGATAAGTAAATAAATACATGTAATAAAAAAAATTAGAAAATAAATAAAATTAAAAATAAAACCATCGTGTCTTAATTTTTAAATTTTTAGAAAAAAAACACTAAAAGAATGCAATTCTTTTGTTAGTAAACAATATAAAGCTTTATAGTAAATATACATGTGATACCTAAATTTGATTACACTGGATGAGGCATATCATTATATATTATGACAATAAATAATACAGCTGTTCAATAAAATATGACTTTTTTTTGGAACATTTATTTTTCCTGTTGTTTAAGACGCGTCTAATTATTTTCAGATTCTTCATTTTAAGAGTTCAAAATGCATGCTACGTTAACGTAAAAAAAAAAATTGAAAATAAATTGTATTAATTAAAAAAAAATTAATTTTAAATTAAATACCATAAACGATTTATTTTTAATACTACATATGGTGGAAATAGTTATTCTATCATAATTTTTCAATCACGTTAATATGTTTTTCTGCCGTTTTCTTAATAGTTTTTCTTTGGATTTTGAAATATTTATAAGATACTGTGTCGACTTCAAAGTTGCCATATGGTATCCTGCTTTGTTTTGTTTTTTTTAAAAGAAGAAAACAAGGAAAAACTTCTTTTTTACCCCTGTCACCCCCCCCCCCAGTATTATAAATGGAAAGAATAATAGATATTATTCCTGTGAATCTTCGATAATTTTCTTACATCAATAGGATCATAAACATTAATCTACTATTTTCATTTTTTTCCTCTTCAGAAATCTTTTACCTGCTGAACACATTTGTTTAAAAATTTCGAAAAGAAATTCGCCATGTTGTTCGCTGATAGCACGGAAATCGTCCTGGGACATTTGGAGCAGTCTTCTGCCGTCCAGATCCTGGAAGCTGTCCACCAGATTGTCCGTCATCTCGGAGTCCATCTTGTATTCCTTCGCTACATACTCCAGCCAGCGAGTCAGTTCCACGGACGTCCAGTTACTGGGATGTAATGTTGCCCAGCGCGGAGGAAAATCTGTTTTTATTCATATAAAGTATTTATTAGATTCCCTCTTAGTTTCTCTAGTGTTGTACCATTCTATCAATTACCTAATTTAATTTGTGTGAAATAATATCTTTTACATACCCTCATAAATGTATTTTAATATTTCAAAACATGTACATGTACACTTTATTTATTTTTTAAATTTTGGTTTTATTCAAAGTTTTAAACATTATAAAATAATAATATCTTGATATCTAATGCCTCACGACACTTCTGTTTGGTTTGTTTGTTTATTGTGCTTTAATTTTAATATAATAAATATCTTATTAGAATACAGTACCTTTATCCAGTTTGAATTTTATCAGAGGTCTTGTAAACACGGTCCAAGTTTGAAACCATACCCGGTATTTCCAATATCAAATATAAACAACTTCTTAACTGTCCAATGACAAACTTTGAATTCATATAGTTTGGCCGGATAAACTCCTGTAGATTTCTTTAAAACTAGGGGTTCATTATGACGTAATATGTATACTGAGTAACCAGGAACAGTTAAATGCAGCTGATAATTTAATTTTAGAAATCGATAGTAACATTGGGAATTTATTCAACATTTATGAATGGACCGAAACCCGGAAGATTTTTGATTGGTCAATGGCGTGGGAATTTGAAGAGTTCTCTGAATGAGGAAGTATCGCGCCATTTTTGAGAGATCCTAATCAATGAGTCAGTTTGGTTCACCTGACATTTCACGAAGACCACACTAATACCGGATATCTCTCTTTGATTATCTTAGATAGCAATGGACTTACATAATACTCTTAGAATAGCGTTAATTCCTCTTTCAATCTCAGGCGTGAAGTGATAGATAGATATTTATTTGGTATACTACATACTTTGATACAATACATATTTAAAAAAGATAATATTAAGAAATGCATATAAATATAAAGTTTTGCACTCAAAAAATAGCATTAAATATATCGGAATCATTTAATTTTAGAAAACATAAATATTATGCAGAAAACATGTTCTTATACCAAGACCAAAGGCCGGTCCTTCGGATGAGGCCGTATAAACCAAGGTCCCGTGTCGCAGTAGGTGCTGGCACGAAAAAGATCCCTCACTGCTCAGTGGCCGTAAGTGCCGAGTATAGGACAAAATTTGCAGCTCTCCACCGGCAAGTGGTGGCGTCTCCATATGAGTGAAAAATTCTCGAGAGGGACGTTAAACAACAACAAACAAACAAACAAAAACCAAGGGCATATTTCCAATGTGTTCCTTATATATACGTATACTAGATTTTAAGTAAAAAAAATATTGATAAAGAAGTTGGATCAAGTTTACAACACGGTGATTATTAAAACTGAATTGTTGTATATATCAAGTCAGCTTCAATTCAAATTCAGGCTATACCGGTATTAGAATAGATTTAGCTTGATATTCAACTTCAGTATTTGCCATTATTATGGAGAAGAAAGAAAAAAAACACGTCTTGAAAACACTGGGTAAACCCATACGAGGAATAGACTCCCTGATCGATCATGATGTAGAGGTACAATATAGATGAAAGAGATGAAGATAATAATCAGTGATCTAATAAATCTTGTAAACAGGTCACCCCGAATAAACCAGAGATGGGATCAGGTGCCTAGGAGGAGTAAGCATCCCTTAACGACCAGTCACCTTTTTACTGATCAGGTGAAAGGATAAATCCTTAGTCAAAATTAGCACACACACCACACAAACATGTATATCCCCGTGGACTACTATCAGTTACATATATCCATCTTCTTACATATTTCACCTAGGTTACGGCTAGGTTACGAATACAGTTCCTAACATTAAACACTTCTTTGTGATTCTACCACTTGAATATGTATGAGGTTATGAATGACAACATTTGAAAGCAGAATTATGAAAAGATATGTTAAACCAAGATAAGTTGACTTTTTTCAATAGTAAAACTATATAGTTATACAATGTAGGTATTTAAACCACAGCACCTAAAGCGTTGATCACGTCCCCCTCCAAACTAACTAATAAAAATATAAGGAGTCTTTATTTTCTCGAAAATATGTGATTTCTCCGTCAATTCTATCTGTATGTCATTCTGTGCGATTGGTTTGTACTTTTGTTAAAGGTTTAAAATTTGACCATACACGGTTTAATAAAAATACTTAAGGTAAGAAACAAAATTATAAACAAAGGGGGGGGGGGGGGTCCCCGCTTCGAGGCTGATTTCCAAGGTACATTGTTATTTATCACATTTTTGCAACCACTCTGTTAGGGAGATGTTCTCCTACTCATCTCTTTAACCTAAAACCCATCTTTAGTGTTTTATATGCTCTAATCAGACTATTTATTAGATGGACACAAAATTGTCTCTATTGACAGACTTGCAGGGGGATTGAAATGTTACGCTTTATCTGATTGGTCAAATGATTTAAACTGTATTCCGTCAACCAATCAGATATTTTCGATAAAGATTCCTTATATTTTATAAGTTGGGGGAATGATCCACGCTTCAGTTGCCTGTGTTTAAACATCTTTATCTGTCAGTGTTTAACTTCTGCCACTTGTACTCTCTCTCTCTCTCTCTCTGCCTGTATCTGTCTGTGTGTCCGTCTGTCTGTCTGTATCTGTCTGTTTCTGTCTGTCTAGCTGTCTGTCTGTATCTGTCTAGCTGTCTGTATCTGTCTGTATCTGTCTGTCTATCTGTATCTGTCTGTCTAGCTGTATCTGTCTGTCTGTCTGTATCTGTCTGTCTTTATCTCTCTGTCTCTCTATATCTGTCTAGCTGTACCTGTCTGAATATTTTCTCGAGCTGGAGTTTATTGATATCGTTCGACCAATTGTGCTATTGTATATGGAATAATCCACATCACTTTTTCAAATAAAAACAAGTGAGTGACATATATACTCCTGTCTATTAAGATTTAAATATATGTAAGTGTAATATAAACAGCTTTACAGGACTGTAAATAACTCCTGCCTTAAGAGACAGAGTGTAATTACATGTGAATATAATATATAGATTTACAGGACTGTATATAACTCTTACCCTAAGAGAAGGAGTTTAAAATTACATGTGAGTTTAATATACAGCTGTACAGGTCTGTAACATCTCCTTAACCTTGCATCAAAGGCACTCCATTTTTTTGTACATGGTAGCATGACCTTTTATAAACTGTTTTTATAGGTTTATATTTCCATATAGCCACAGATAGACAATCAGTCAGTTAATTTAATCTGAAAACCTTTATGCTCATGTGGCAAAAAAAAAAGATACGTATCATTTTTTTATATGTCCAAGGTACATAGAAGCCAGAAAAAAAATTTTTTTTTGGATAAATTTCTATTATTTGATAAAATTCACATTTTAGATACACATGTTTTATTATGGGGGGTAGATTGATTGAGTGCTGCGGAGAATGCACGTCTCTTTTCTCTATTGTTCAAACATTTATAAAACATTTTAGCAGTTTCACATGTAAGTAATATTATCAATAAATAAATTTATGTATAAAGAAAAATCATATGTATGATTCTTTAAAATGCAGTGATTGGTAAATTTTGCAAATATTGAATGTTTTGAATGTACATATACATCTGTGACCTAATTTAATTTTTATAATTCACATTTAGGGACATATGTGTCAGACTCTGTGGTATCTTTTATTTCAAGATCATTGGGATATATCGTGTCGACATATAAATAGAAGTAACTATTGTTAATTGATAATATGTCGTCAATATATCTAAATGTCGAGTTGAAGGCCACAGCAAGTGTTTTCTTCTTCTCATGTAGAAGTTTTTTGAATAAATTCTGCTTCATATGAATACAAAAATAGGTCTGCTCATAAGAGGGCGCAATTGGAACCCACGGAAATTCCGACAGATTGTTGTAAGACCTGATCTCCAAAAACTACATAGATATTGTCAATCAGAAACTCAAACATCTTTTTAATATCAACTTCAGAGAGTACTTGTATGTACAATGAGAATGTTTTTTAACGTAATAATATTGCGATTGACCAATGACAAGGTAAGTATGTTTACGAGTTCCATTTTTATTGAAAAAGCAGCTGTCTAGATGTAAAAAAGCCTGGACTTTAATTTATCGTGGAGAATGGTTGTATAAAGTGTTGAAAAGTTATAAGTTTTGACGTTATTGATTTTGGTAATAGTTTGTGATTTCAATTTTTCTAAAAGTTCCTTTAATTTTTTAAGTATCCACATTTGATTTACTCCACTTCTGGAATATACTGTTATACAGTACTCCTGAAGTTTCTCCACTGCTGTAAATAATTTAGGGAGGAGTAAAGAAAAGGCTTGGTAAACATTTAAAAATATTTAAAACTGACATATAATTTTAAAGAATTTCCCCCTTAGAAAGGGAAATATTGGTACAAGTTGGATTACCACTTGCAGAATTAATTAGGATATCATTGGGACCCTTTTATAAAATGAATTGAAAATTTATTGTTTTATGGTCATAATCCCAAGGTTAATGCTAGTGGGCAACGAAATGTTTTAAATCAAGTCAGTAACTTTATAATCATTGAACGAGGTAAGTACAAGAGAATATATCTGTTAAAGCATTGCATTATATGTAGGCCTATAGTAATTATAAATTTTATTTTTAATTATTAAAAGTATTTGCTATCATGATCGTATGCTTTATCTTAAATGGTGATATGTCATGATTCTAATTCAAGTTCATACTGCATTGTAGATGTTTTCACTTGTTAAGTCCTTGTACCTATAAGAGTCTCAAAAAAAATTAATGAAAAAAAGATGATATTTAGTTATTTACATACCGGTTCTTGCTTATTGGACTGTGCTCTATCACTGTAACAGATCAGTTAACATTTGTTCGTAAATATTCGTAAAATTAGAAAAGGTCCACTCTAGAGGTTAATGTTAATTAGTACAAGAAAAAAAGGTAAAGATAACAAACGTGACCAATTTCATCAATCCCTTAAACAATATAAATCGCACAAAACGTGAAAAGACTAAGACATGGTCGTCTGAGAACACCAGAGGTGGGATCAGGTGCCTGGAAGGAGTAAGCATCCTCTGCCGACTGGTCAAACCTACTGAGATTCAGCTACATATTGATTAGGATAACACTTAATCCATGGTCATAGGCAGTCTGAAAATAACGGCTTAACAATTGGTATGAAAAATGTCTGTCAAAATTCGACCAAAGGATAGACTGTATTTTCAAACAAGGTAATTACATAGGTATAACGACCATAGAATTTGTAATATGCAGATTTTAAAAGGAGAATGTTTAAAGCCCTGCAACATCATAAATAAAACAAAATTTGAGAAATACTGACATAAAACAGAATTGTTGAAAGCTCAGTAACATCCACATATTTGTATATAATCTGCTTGGTTTGAAAATTTAATGTACGCAGAACATGCTGAAAATTTAATGTACACAGAACATGCTTTTGTGTACATCTAATCTCTTGAGAGATATAAACACCATTTGCAGGTATTAACCGACATTTACTAAAAACGAGGGTTGTTTGGAAAAACTCGAGGACAAGTTCTATATTGTGAGTGCGCTATTTGCATAGAACCAGTTAAACTCTGTAGGTAAAAACTACAACCAAAATGAATTCGAATTACCATATTTATATTGGATTCCGAAACTTCATAAAAATCCTTACAAACAAAGATACATAGCGGGTTCCAGTAAATGTTCAACCAAGCCTCTATCTTAACTCCTCACTAAGATATTAACAGTGGTGAAGGAGAAACTTCAGGAGTACTGTGCAACAATATATTCGAGAAGTGGTGTAAATCAGATGTGGATACTTAAAAATTCCAAGGAACTTTTGGAAAATTTGAAATCACAAGATTTTACCAAAATCAACAGCTTAAAAACTTACGACTTTTCAACTTTATACACAACCATTCCCCACGATAAATTAAAGTCCAGGCTTTTTGATATCATTGACAGCTGCTTTTTCAATAAAAATGGAACTCGTAAATATACTTACCTTGTCATTGGTCATTTGCAAAATTATTTTGTTAAAAAACATTCTGATTGTACACACAAGTACTCTGAAGTTGACATTAAAAAGGTGCTTGAGTTTCCGATTGACAATATCTATGTGGTTTTTGGAGACCAGGTCTTCCAACAATCTATTGGAATTCCTATGGGTACCAATTGCGCCCCGTTATTAGCAGACCTTTTTTTGTATTCATATGAAGCAGAATTTGTCCAAAAACTTGTACGTGAAAAGAAGAAATCACTTGCTGTGGCGTTCAACTCGACATTTAGATATATCGACGACGTATTGTCAACTAACAATGGCTATTTTCATTCTTATGTCGATACGATATATCCTGGTGAACTTGAGATAAAAGATACCACAGAGTCCGACACATCTGTTTCATATTTGGATATTTTACTTGAAAAAGACGTAAATGGTAATATAACAACCAAGCTTTATGATAAACGTGATGACTTTAACTTTTCAATCGTCAACTTCCCTTACTTATGCAGCAATATACCTTCATCACCTGCATATGGGGTATATATCTCTCAGTTGATTCGATACGCAAGAGCATGCTCTACGTATGTACAATTTCTAAAACGAGGTAAATTATTGACAAATAAGTTGATGAAACAAGAATATCAGCTGTCTCGTTTAAAGTCATCATTTCGTAAGTTCTATGGTCGATACAATGACCTTGTCAGCAAAAACAATTTATCATTGAGTCAAATGCTGACTGACGTTTTTCATACTAATTGTTATCTCATTATTTACTCACTGAATTGTTTACTGATTTTTCCGTTATTTCCCGATCATGAGAAGGAGCACACGGCGGGTGTGACTTGTCGGCAGGGGATGCTCACTCCTCCATGGCACCTGATCCCACCTCTGATGTTTGGAGGTCCGTGTTTGCTCTGCTCCTATTTTGTATTGTATAATGGACTTTTGAGCTTGAATACTATTCGTTATCTCCATATATTTTATTCCAATAAATAAGCAAAACTTTGGTGTTTTCCGATGATCTTTAAAAATATACAGCTATATTATTTAAATAAAACATGCTTCACAGAGCATGTCACTTTTTCGTAAATTTACATTAAATAGACATTTTTTTCGAAATCAAAAATTTTACTGTTCAGATCTCACTCATATTTGATACGCCTTAAAGAATATCTTATATAAAAGTAACATGTCTTTTTATAGTTATTCAATTTTTAAATAAGAAAAAGACACGAAAAGTCTATAGAACTAAAAGATATTTAGAACCGTGAAAAAGCTTAACAGGTTTGGAATCAGATTTTCAATTCACCTAATATAAAAAAAGAAGTGATTGCTCCGTACCCAATAAAAATAATTTTTTTTTTTCAAAATTTTAGCCCTGGTTTTTTATTTACTAATAAATTTAATCAGACATAAGTCTTTCTTCAAAGTACACAACAAATTTTCTGTAAATCAATGTGTCCGCGAAATTTTCTATCAACAATCCTCGTAGATAGGGAGCGTTAATCATTGAAAAGCTGTTGTCATCCCGTTTGTCAAAGTTTAGACTTTCATCCAAATATGTAAGAGATATGACAGAGTGTATGAAGTCTTTTATTTTGAATTCACAGGGATACATACTTTTGACATACGAATAAAAATAAATATTGTAGTTAAAACGTCGTCGATATATCTAATTATTATACTTTCATGTTAAATACTAAAATCTGATTCGTTTAGAGGCATTTAACAATCCCTAATGTTACCCTCAGTGTTAGCAACACACTTGACAACGGGTAACATTACGAAAATATCACATGCGTTCAAATGATGCGCGTACGGTTCACCGTAGAATTCTCAAAACGTCGGTTGTGCGTTTGAAAGAAGTCGAATAAACGACGTCAATAAAAGCTTGCGTCCGATGTAGCTTACTTGAAAACAACAAACGACAGACGAAACATCCTTGCGAGTGCAAACTTTAGATGATAAAGGACTTTTTGAGTAGCAAACAAACAAAAAAGAGGTTGGTAAATCTTTTCCGAAGCTTTCTTATTAAAAAAATAGAAGTGGGGAGTGTGAAAGCTTTCTAAGCGTGAACTTAACGACGATCTCCGAATTTTTTGTATGATATCCGAAATCAATAAGACATTCAGTATAATAAAATAAATAGTGCACGTTTTTGAGGGTAACAGTTGAAATTGACACCCCTCGGAAAACCATTGTCAACCTCCGCTGACGCGTCGGTTGACAATGGTTTTCCTTGGGGTGTCAATTTCAACTGTTACCCTCAAAAACGTGCACTATTTATATATTGTCGAATTGAAGGCCATAATAAAATTTTTCTTTCCTTATGCAGGAGTTTTTGAAAAAGAAAAAAAAAAACGCCTCATAAGTATATAAAAACAAATTGTCTTATCAAAGAGCAAAATTTGTGGACAGGGAAATATTCCATCCATCTGATGGTAGACCCGGTCTCCAAAGACTTCAAAAATATAAAGCAGAATTTATTCAGAGATTTATAAATGAGAGGAGGAAAACGTTTGGTATGGCCCTCGGCTTGGCATTTGGAAATATCGACGACGTATTGTCAAAATTTAGCAGTGGTTACTTCCATTCAAGTGTCGACTCCATATGTCCCAGTAGGCTTGAAGTAAAGGATACCACAGAGTCTGGCAGGTCTGTTTCATATTTGGATATCTTGCTGGAAAGGGACCTGGCGGCAAAACTTTATGATAAGCGTGATGGCTTTGACTTTTCTATTGTCAACTTCCCTTGTTTGTGTGTAGCAATGTGCCCTTGTTTCCTGCATGAGGGTTTATGTCTCCCAATTGATTCGGTGCGGGGGGTGCTCTGAGTGCGAACTGTTTCTGAAGCGAGGCATCCTATTGAGAAACAGGTCGATGAGGCGGGGATATCGGCGGTCTCTTGTGGAGTCTTCATTTCGCAGGTTCTGTGGTCGATGCGGTGGCCTTGTCAGCAAGTGCGGTCTGTCACTGGGTCGAGTGCTGACTGTCGTTTTTTACTATAGTTGTTAGACCATTATTTTCACGCTTAAGGAAGCTATAAACACTAATTAAAAATGCTTTTTGGACTTTGAGAAAAATATATCATATAAAGGTGCACATATTCAGTGTATCTAGTTCATTTTCAACATTGGGTACCTGCCCTATTTCTGCAGGAAAAAAGTTCAAAGACAATGAACTATCTGTGAACAGAAATCACTGTTGTTTACTTGCATCGGGAGAACTAATGGAAATAATGTATTCAATTACTTAATCTTGGTCTAACATAACATTAAGAATACTTTAATTATTAACAAATTGAGACATTAACTGTAGATTCCCATTTATTCTATTTTTCTTCAAAGGGCAGATCACTCTAACTCAATAAAACTACCCTACAAATAGTGCTCTTTAGTGTGCAGTGTTTAGGGCTTCCTTAATTGTCTACGGATTATTCCGTTTGCTAGATCTTGACAATGAGCAAATATGGTGGGTATGGCAGGTCGGCGGGGGGTGCTTGCTCCTCCATGACACCTGATCCCACCTCTAATTTTTTTAGGTCCATGTTTGCTCTGCTCCCAGTTTGCATTGTTTCAATGGACTTTTGGGCTTGATTGCTGTTCGTTATGTCCCCGTTTCATTTCAATGAGAAGCTCTTGCATCTTTTTAATATAAACTTCAGAGTAATTGTTGTGGAATCTGAACGATTTTAATAAGTTTTTTTTTCATAGATAACCAATTATAAGATATGAATATTTTCGAGTTCAGTTTTGATTGACGGAAGTTATTTCTGATGTCAAATGTCTAGCATATAATTTACCGCGAGCCATGGTTGTATAAAGTGTTGATAAGTTATTCATTTTGATGCAATTGGTTTGGAAAAATGTGATATCAGATTTTCTTAAAAAAAAAAAAATCTTTGGAGTTTTCTTTTCACAACACTTAATAATTTTGTGAGTAGTAAAGATAGTCTCGGTAGAACATTTACTGGACCCTTCAATATATGAAACAATAATGATTCTTACTAAGATAAAGCGTCGTGATTTTGATTTAACATCCATTGATAATTCATTGTTTTGAAATATTGAAACGTTTTAATTGCTGCAAACAAGAAATTACTTGTTGGATAGTATGTAGTGACTATGATTATAAAACCTCGTATGAATCTGCAGGGCGTCTGATATCAATGGTAGATGTACGACACGACGGACGTGCTAAGTCTTCTGACTGAGAGCTTTAACATAGCTGATAAGTCTTGTACGGCTATTTAATGAGAGGTCTGTTTACTTGAGCTACAGTTTAGAACTGTCAACAAGGATTCATTTCAAAGATCTAATATGAAGGTCTTACTGCTGCTGGTCGTTGTCATTGGTATGAATGGCCTTTTTAATAATTACTTGTGATATCTAGGAGAAATAATCTAGCTAATTTGTTTTTGTTTGTTTTTAAGTATTTTTTAAAAGTAATCTGTATTAAGATAGAACGATTTTCTGTTTTATTTCAACTACATAAAATTTACTCTGAAAGATTTTTCCTTTGTGTGAAAATTAAAGTGGATCTAGTCTTGAACTGTTGAAATAATGCACGTGTATAATACCGACAATTAAGATTCGCATAAATAAGAAATAACTTTAGAGAATTTAGTCAGTAAAAGAACTTTTTTTTTAAAAGTGAAGGCATACTGGTAGACATTTAATTCTTAAATTGTTTTTTGACATTTTAATGGGTATGGTCCTAAAATGTGTTCTTAAAATGTTGAATAATAAAATTTGGATTCGTAGGACTAACTCATGTAATTTTCTCGCAAATTCAAAAATTACGAAATTATCCACTTTAGGTAAATAAAGATCTTTTAGTAATAGATTTTTGTATTATTTCACGAACATAAATTTTAGATTCAAGATGTTAAAGAATGAAAAAAAAAATTATGAAAGGACAAGTTGCGTTACCCTTATGGTACAAAATATCAGAACAAAGCTACAATATCCATATTTTGTAATTAAAAACCTTAATGAATGCGCGTTTAAAATCCACCATTGGTTACGACTCGAAGCGTCCAAAGAGGCCTTAAGGTTCTAATAAGTTCTTGTGAAATTTAGTCAATTTTTAGAAACTTTTTCACTTTGGAAAACGCAAAGCGTTAGCTACGCTTCTGACATTTTCATAAAAAGATGCTTAGTTACATGTACTAGTAAATAACATATGTAATTCTAATAGAAAGGCTAGCTTGCGCTCTGTGTTTTTTAAAACAAAACGTGCCTTTAAATTGGTGATTGATAAGAAAATTTGAAAATTGGCAAATTTGATGATATTTTTGTGAATTTTTGAAGCTATCACTTTACACAAATGCTCATTTTAAAACAGGGATACATTAGATTATGAACCATTGCATTGTTCTAAAATACAACCCAAAGCACTGGCCAAAATGGCGTCTATCCTACTCTGCCCATTAAGTTTTCCTGTCTATTTAAACGTTGGTTCTACTAATAATGCCAAAATGCTTTAAATATTCCAACACTATTCTATTTATACGTTGATTTTGCTAATAATGTCAAATGCTCAAAATGTTCATCATTATTCTGTTTAAACGTTGGTTTTACTAATAGTGCCAAAATGCTCAAAATATTCATCACTATTTGTACATAAAAATATTATCTCCATATATGCATGTATATCACCTGTTCACTGGTATCTAGTGCAATTTATGTTTAAGGAGATAGCGCAAAGAAATGGTTGTTTGTAATGTAAGGAAGGAAAGGTTTGGTATAATTAAAAGGTTGCGCTGCTGAGGAGATGTGTAGATCTGTAATATAATTGATTCTCCTATTGCTTACGCTATTGCGGAGATGTGTAGATTTGTAATATAATTAGTTTTCCTATAGGTTGTAATATCATTGGCTCTCCTATTGGTTGCACTGCTGCAGCGATATTTCGATATGTAATATAATTTGCACTCCTATAGGTGGCACTGTTGCGGAGCTGTTTCGATCTGTAATATAATTAGCTCTGCCATAGAATGCGCTGTTGCGGGGATGTTTGTTCTGTAATATATTTGACTTCCAACAGTCTATTGGAATTCCCATGGGTGCCAGTTGCGCCCCGTTATTGGCAGACCTTTTTTTGTATTCATATGAAGCAGAATTTGTCCACAATCTTATACGTGAAAAGAAGAAAACACTTGCTGTGGCCTTCAACTCGACATTTAGATATATCGAAGACGTATTGTCAATTAACAATGGCTATATCCATTCTTATGTCGATACGATATATCCCAGTGAGCTTGAGATAAAAGATACTACAGAGTCTGACACATCTGTTTCATATTTGGATATTTTACTTGAAAAGACGTTAATGGTGGTCTAACAGCTATGCTTTATGATGGGCGTGATGACTTTAACTTTTCAATCGTCAACTTCCCTTACGTATGCAGCAATGTACCTTCATCACCTGCATACGGGGTATATATCTCTCAGTTGATTCGATACGCAAGAGCATGCTCTACGTATGTACGTCTAAAACGGGATAAATTATTGACAAACAAGTTGATGAAACAAGAATATCAGCTGTCTCGTTTAAAGTCATCATTTCGTAAGTTCTACGGTCGATACAATGACCTTGTCAGCAAATACAATTTATCATTGAGTCAAATGCTGACGTTTTTCATACTAATTGTTAGGCCATTATTTACACACTGAATTGTCGACGGATTTTTCCGTTAATTTTCGATCATGACAAGGAGCACACGGCGGGTGTGACTTGTCGGCAGGGGATGCTCACTCCTCCTTGGCACCTGGTCCCACCTCTGATGTTTGGAGGTCCGTGTTTGCTCTGCTCCTATTTTGTATTGTTTAATGGACTTTTGAGCTTGAATACTGTTCGTTATCTCCATGTATTTCACTCTCCTATAGGTTGCGCTGTTGCGGAGATGTGTAGATCTGATTCAGACTGTTCACATGTCCAGTGTGATTCCTCAACCCAACTCCACTGTGTCTTCAATACGTGTACCTGTACAGAACCATCCACACATAGTAGGAAATCTTCTTTATCTCCTAAATCTTAGAAATAAAATCATACAGCTTCACAAAGATAAATAAATGTTATACTTTGAAAATAAGAATGAGAGTACTAAGGCAAGAAAGATTTCTCTCTCTTTCTGACTCAGAAATTCATATCAATAATTGTAGGTACTATAAAAAAAAATCATTTTTGGAATATTTTTCAACTCAAACATGTTGCGATAGATAAATTGACATTTTTACTATATAAATATTTTTTTATTTGTAAGTCCACCTGATTAAAATTTATCTTTTCAATATCAGAGTGCCAAACACAAAGAGACTGTGCCTACATTAGATGGGACTGCCCACGTGACCGCCGCCACTGTATTGACGGATTATGCAAATGCACTCGAATTTAATAAAAATAAAAAATATATCTTACTCTATGTATTAATCACACATATACTAATTACATCAAGGGGTCTGAGATTCTACTGATATTCATATCATATTTAATGATTCAATAATTGGCCGAGTTAAGCGTCCTAATCCTAGTGAGAACTTGTCCGTCACAGGGAGGGATAAAGACTTAATGCTAATTTTCTTGAGAAGTATATTGTACTCCTATAGCATGATGCAAAATCGCAAAGAAAACTGGGGGTCAATGTGCATCTTACTGTGCAACGGTACAGTTTGGCCTTTTTGCACCTAAATTGTGACTATTATATTAATCACTTTAATCATTATTTGTTTGTATATTGTTTAACGTCCCTCTCGAGAATTTTTCACTCATATAGAGACGCACCACTTGCTGGTGGAGAGCTGCAAATTTTATCCTATACTCGGCACTTATGGCCATTGAGCAGTGAGGGATTTTTTTCCTGCCAGCACCTACTGCGACACGGGACCTCGGTTTATACGGTCTCTTTCGAAGGACCGGTCTCCACGTCCCACAGTGGGATTCGAACCCGCGACGTAAGGATCAACTCCTTACCTCGCGAGTCTAGAGCAGAAGCTCTAACCACTGCGCCACCCGAGCGACTTAATCTTTATTTTATTTTATCAGATGTAATCATGACAATAAATATAATCTTATTTTACGTAAAATGTATCATTGAACATATCATACAAATTAATGTGCATAAATTATTGTATGACTTTTTGCACTAAAACGTATCATATTTAGGGTATTTAAAATCTAAATAAGCAATAAAATATTTTCTTATATCAAACTTTTAATGGCTTTGTGCTGGTCGGTTGGAAATAACGTGTAGTTTAAAATGCTGAAAGAAAATATAGGGTCAGTGATTTAAATTTTGAGATATTGGTCAAAATACGCGATTTTCAGACAAAAACAGTGTAAATTTTATCTAGACTTCTTTTATATAATTATTTTCATCTCTTGGCAAAGTCTGTTAAGGTGAATGTGTAAAATTTGTTCTAAAAATATACAATGAAACCTATATTTAATATTCTTCGCATAAAATAGCGGAAAATATTCTCTGAGTAAAAATATGTGGGTATGAAGTTTCAAGATATTAAATGTAACAAATGTGTAAATTTGAAGAATTTTCTTCCAATTATCCTTCCACCACAAGTAATAGTCCTCGTAAATCTTGTTTCTTTATAACTTCGTGAGCTTAAATTGAATATTGTATAATCTGCATTGTTTATTTCACATATGTTATAAGAATTGAAATGTAATGAATAGTTTTGAAGTAAAAGATTCTCACCGAAATTTTCTTAAAAGCTGACCAATGACACATACCTTTACGACAATACGGAGGTCTCTTATCGTGTCAGTGCCTACTTAAACGCAGAGCCCAAGGTTTTTATAAAAAGTATCTACCGAAAGATTAGTGCTTTTCAATCTAATAGCGAGAAGGTTTATGTTGCAACAGTCACAATCTACTTTGAATTAAAGTGGGGTTTTTTTTCTGAACGAGACGAATGCATTAATTCGTAGATCACACAACAAAGAGCAAATTATCTCTGAAAATATCATTTAATTATTGGCCATACTTTTTACTTTTATGCATTCAAAAGTATTTTTAGAGAAATTTTAAGTAAGTATGCAAGCTTTCAAGGCATACTTGAATATAGAAGATAATTTTTGAACGAAAATTCAATTCGAAAACATTTTCTTGTAATACTGCATACATATTTGTAAAATGAGAACATTTAGGACTGCAATCAAACACCGGCAGAAGACCATTCCAGGCATTAACAAACATATTGCAGCCTAAAACGGAAGGCATTTGGACCAACTTTGAAAATTCAATTTAAAAAAAATACCTGCATATTAGAATTATCTCTCTTAAGTACAGAGTGCCGTAAACAGATCTTTAGACGGTGCTGATAGAATTAATGACTTATCCCTGCCCGAGGCTAATCAACTCCGAAGTTCGACACCGTTGATGACTTCAAAAAGGGTGACTGATTGATTGTATGTTGTTTTACGTCACATTCGAGAATTTTTCACTCACATAGAGACGTCACCGTAGCCGGTGAAGCGCTTCAAATCCTTTAGACAATACTCGGCAATCAGGGTCATCGAGCAGTGAGGGTTCTTTATCATGCCAACGCCTACCGTGACATGGGACCTTGGCTCTAAGGTCTCGTCCAAAGATACATTTCCGATAGTTGATGAAGGTAGAAAAAAGGAATCAAATTTGCATTTTATATCAAATCCAACTCCACTTTTATTAAATTCTCAGAGGCGATGTTGATCCCGTAGCAAACTGTAGACTTTTTGAGATTTTTGAGGCTTTATATTAAAATCAGACATTTTTCACGGGGGAAAATTGAAGGAATAGAATTATAGTAAGTAACTGTTTATTACCGTGACATTGTGCATAGATGACATTTAAAATATATACGTTAATTAATAATTTGCACCCGCCCGTTAGACCTATAGGTCATTTAATTTTTATGATTTATGAATTATGTGTATAAAACTAAGCCTACTAATTAAAATGCTGATAGCTATTAAACCACATATAACTTTGCCTTGGAATACCAAAAGTTCCATCTTTTATTGCTAGAATAAAGAAGAATATTATAATCAAAATATTAATTTAAAATGCAATCATCATAACAAACATTCGGATTCAATCTTTAAAAGGAAAACAGTGAATCACATAGAACCAGAATTAAACCGAATTAAACCACAATATTCCAGATTAAGAGCATGATAAATCCAGTGTAGTTCATAAAATATTTGTCAGGAAATAAGTGCATGGGAATAAATAATCTTATGCGTAAAATGTGAAGATATGGAAGTATATTTTGATCGTTGATAAGACTAGAAAACGTGAGGCCATCTTGACCATCAATGACCTTTAGATATGTATATAAGACGACTCCACCGTTATATCGACGTTCACCGACAAAAATCATGAAAGTCTTCCTCCTTCTGGTCGTCGTCTTTGGTAAGTTTGTTTGTTCTTTGGTAAGTTTGTTTGTTCTTTGGTGTAAAAAGTTTTCCACCTACTTATTGTTCATCTTATTAAACAATGTTCCCGCATTCAGTAAAATATATTGCATATATCATATTATTTATGTACTTTAATATGTACATTAATTAATATCATGATCGGTCAAAGAACGTGATTCTGTTTTTTGAGTGTGTGAATTGCTTTTAGTCTTACATACATGATCTGATTTTAATTACTTGGAGAGAAACATTATAGAGACAAACAAAATGATATTTTCCTGTAATGTACTGTTATTTCATAATGATGTAAATAAACAAATAAAGTAATTTCTTTTTCATTTCTTAAGTAGTGCATTTCGTTTTCACAAATGGCATTATGCCCCTTAATTCCTAGATATTGAAATCGCAGACGTAATCATGTTTCATAGTAAATTGCTTTCCTGAATAAATTATATAGGTATTGCATACAACTATTTCTCTTTATATTTACAATGCATGCTTAAAATAACTAGAGTGTTGAGTCTGTACTAAACTATTTCGTTTTATCTAGTTTGAACCATTTGATGACGTCATAGTGTATTTATTACAGGATACGTAGCAGCCGAGAGTTGCCGATCTGATGGCGACTGTTCCCATACACAGTGTGACAGCACGAGTCAATTGCATTGCGTCCACGGGATTTGCACGTGTACGGATGCCTCTGAGCACAGTTAGTACTCAAAATATAAAAAAAAATATTTCACCTGATCCTGGAGATATCAATTGTTCTATTTATAGCTCCTTACATGATACAACCATATTTGTTTTTTTTTTTCAGGATGTACAACTTTGCAAGATTGCCAACGAGTTACCAACTGGGCCTGCGTACTGAGTAGGCGCCATTGTATTGATGGTGAATGCAAATGTACAAGAATTTAATAAAATACTCACCAATCAATGAATATGCTTCCTACATTGAATAGCCATTAAAACTTTTTGTGCTTATTGTGATTTTAAAAGAAGGCTACTACATACATAAGATATGACAAGGTCGGCTGGGGATGCTCACTCCTCCATGGCACCTGATCCCTCCTCTAAATTTTGAGGTCCGTGTTTACTCTGCTTCAAATTAGCATCATTTCATTGGTATTTCCAGATTGAATACTTTTCGTTATCTTCATAGTTGTTGTTTTACGCCAAATGTGGGCTATTATAAACACTGTTTATTGCACACTCTGATTACAATTCATTTACTGCAGTATAAAGTGGGTATTCCGTTAAAGAAGAAAAAAGGCACTCCATTTTCCTCAGGATTCGAATCCCGGTCTGGTCCGTCGCATTTTTCTCCTCTCTTGTTACAGTTGCAATGACTACATCATTAATGTGGGGACTCTTTCAGCGTACAGTGTTATGATATGACTTTTCAAAATACACAAAGGCGTACACGTATAGTCATACACGAAATATACCAAATATGTTCATCCGAAAGACCTGTAACTTTTAATTCTAGTGCCGGGCGCTTGGTGAAGGAACAGTCACTACCTATATTAACAACTTAGTTTTAACGCTGCGCGGCGAACAAGAATCGAACCGGACATCCCAATCACGAATCACTAGGCTACCGTGACCAAAGGCCTGATGGACACGTCATTACTGGTGAGGTAAATGTAGATCTTCAATCACTTATTTTAAAGGACTAAAACCCCGATCTTTCAACTGGTGTCAAAATTTCAAAAATATTATGAATTCTGTGGAAGATTACGCCAGATGATGGGCTAACATGAAAAAAAAGTCTTTGGTATTGTGTCAGAATGGATTACAAGGATCAAATGGATGTTGAAATCTCTTAATAAACGCTTGAGGGACAATATGAAAATCATATAACCTGTGTTCCATAATTCAGAGGTGAAAAAAGATATATTGCATAATCAGTGAATACTGGTCCCTGCTGACAAAACAGATAACATCATTGTCTTTGTTTGTAAGGCTCATTATTTTAATTGTAACATCAAAACGTACAA